AATGATTTCAAATGTGTAAAAACGCAAACCTCCAAAACTGTGCCCCAATATAATGTAACAGTGCTCACTAGTGACTAGCTTCGTGAGGAAATTCTCGGAGTTCTAGTTGAGAAGACGTGACCAGTGGAGTTCAACCCTGTCGGGTGTAGGCAGTAACTACCAAAGACAAATGGGTGAGGTCGCGCAAAATCCCTAGATCAATCAGAGTTAGACATTAACACCGTTGGATGCCGGCCCAGTGGTCCGATGGTAAGGCGTTCGCCTACAATGCCAAAGGTCCCGGGTTCGAATCCTGCGAGGAGCAGGAGTCGTGGATGCGCACTGCTGAGGAGTCCCATACTAGGACGAAACGGCCGTCCAGTGCTTCCAGGTTTCTAATGGTGGTCTAACAATGATGATTGATTAATGATTTCAAATGTGTAAAAACGCAAACCTCCAAAACTGTGCCCCAATATAATGTAACAGTGCTCACTAGTGACTAGCTTCGTGAGGAAATTCTCGGAGTTCTAGTTGAGAAGACGTGACCAGTGGAGTTCAACCCTGTCGGGTGTAGGCAGTAACTACCAAAGACAAATGGGTGAGGTCGCGCAAAATCCCTAGATCAATCAGAGTTAGACATTAACACCGTTGGATGCCGGCCCAGTGGTCCGATGGTAAGGCGTTCGCCTACAATGCCAAAGGTCCCGGGTTCGAATCCTGCGAGGAGCAGGAGTCGTGGATGCGCACTGCTGAGGAGTCCCATACTAGGACGAAACGGCCGTCCAGTGCTTCCAGGTTTCTAATGGTGGTCTAACAATGATGATTGATTAATGATTTCAAATGTGTAAAAACGCAAACCTCCAAAACTGTGCCCCAATATAATGTAACAGTGCTCACTAGTGACTAGCTTCGTGAGGAAATTCTCGGAGTTCTAGTTGAGAAGACGTGACCAGTGGAGTTCAACCCTGTCGGGTGTAGGCAGTAACTACCAAAGACAAATGGGTGAGGTCGCGCAAAATCCCTAGATCAATCAGAGTTAGACATTAACACCGTTGGATGCCGGCCCAGTGGTCCGATGGTAAGGCGTTCGCCTACAATGCCAAAGGTCCCGGGTTCGAATCCTGCGAGGAGCAGGAGTCGTGGATGCGCACTGCTGAGGAGTCCCATACTAGGACGAAACGGCCGTCCAGTGCTTCCAGGTTTCTAATGGTGGTCTAACAATGATGATTGATTAATGATTTCAAATGTGTAAATACTACTACTATATGAGACCAACTGTTATGATGTTCAATTGTTTTAAGTATTCAGTATGATGTATTGAAAAGAAATAGGTTATTGATTATAGAACATTGATTTCAACCACTAAGTGGTAGGTAGGTTGAAACTCTATTATGATTGATATTATTGAGTGGTACCATTAGTTCTCCACACTGAAGGCATAGTTTTAAAGTGAGTACGCAAAACCAACTCTTGTAATAAATGTCTATGAATTCGTCATAAATTAATTATGTGGTACATTCACTGTGTACAAATAATGATGTGAAGTCTGTGATCGAGTATCTTCAAGTTAAGGATATCTCGATTGGGGGATTACCAAGAAGTAGATTTCTGTGCAGTTTTTGATAAATAGTTAGTTAGTCTAACAATGATTGATTGATGATTTCAAATGTGTAAAAACACAAACCTCCAAAAATCTAGCCTAAAATATCGTAACAGTGCTCACTAGTGACTAGCTTCGTGAGGAAATTCTCGCAGTTCTAGTTGAGAAGACGTGACCAATGGAGTTCAACCCTGTCGGGTGTAGGCAGTAACTACCAAAGACAAATGGGTGAGGTCGCGCAAAATCCATAGATCAATCAGAGTTAGACATTAACACCGTTGGATGCCGGCCCATTGGTCCGATGGTTAGGCGTTCGCGCACAATCCTGAAGGTCCCGGGTTCGAATCTCGCGAGGAGCAGGTGTCGTGGATGAGCACTGCTGATGAGTCCCATACAAGGACGAAACGGCCGTCGTCCAGTGGTTCCAGGTTTCTAATGGTGATCTAACAATGACTGATTGATGATTTCAAATGTGTAAAAACACAAAAGCTCCAAAACTCTGCCCAAAATAGTTAGATATCGATGTGGCACTATACGTTGTGTAAGTTGGAAAATCTCAAACAAATCCTTTGTATTGTAGCCGTTGATAGCCGACTAGCTTATCACAGTTAACGTTATTTCACGAATAAACACAGTAGTTTATACAAGGTTCATTTCTAGCCTAGTTACAGAACACTGATCGATTTTTCGGCAGGTACGGAACACGGACCAAACATTCTCAGATATTATTAACTAAAGGTGTTAAATAAGACTCAGCAGTGTTGTGGCGTCTTTATCTAACCAATGTTTGTATACACTAAGTTGGTCTGAACATCTTCGAACAAGATAATCGAAGTTAACGCTAATTAATATACTTATAATTATAGTACAGTAAATAAAACCCAATATTTAATACAAATACTTAGTATGTCTCAATAAATCTCAAAATTGAGTCACTTTTTGACAGAAACGCCTACACTTAAAAGATGTGCTTGTTGAAAGTAAGCATACGAAAATTATACAAATCCGTAATATATTCGATACAAATCAATTTAATCTCTATTGTTAACATTTGATCGATTATCGAAATGTTTCTTTCGCCTGGTAATTTATTTGATTAAACTACACAATACACGTAAATCGATCAGATAGTGGTGAGCGAATTTTTAAAAAAAATTAATTCAACTTGTTGATTATTAAAAGAAATAGCCATTTCGGTGTAATACTACGTGCAATGAAGCTTATAAGCAGTATGCAGTGGAGTGGTGCCCGGAAGTTACTGTTAAAGAGAAGAGTTTCGGACCAGGAAACATGGCAAAATCAAAGAGGTTTGAATACACATGAAAGGAGACAGCCAGGAATCTGTTCGTTTTGGAAACTAAAGTTTGATTGAAGATACGGTGCAAATATTTTGCTGGTAAATTGTGTCTTCTTCAACATAAATCACTAGTTCTATCTGATCTTAATGCCTTTTTTCATTACACAATGATGAAAACTGTCTTCACAGAGTGAGTAATACATTCAGGAGTCGATAATTAAACGATGAGTTAAAATTACTCGTACTTACTGACAACAGATAAGTTGAATGAGGAACAGTCTCAAGCAGTCATCTAGTAGTGATTATTATTTGTTTAATTTTGATACAATGAGTAGGAATCAGTTATAATGCTTAGGTATTAATTTATTGGTTATTGATCAACAAAATGAACATTTTTCAATCGTCTATAACACTTGATCATGTTTATTTTCCAGTCAATAATTTGTGAGTGGACTGAGTCATGTTGGTAGATGTAGGCTATCTGGTTGGGGTCCACGAGACAAAAGTCACCAATGGTTAGAGACCTTGAAAGACATGGATCAAAATCGTTTGCATGGCGCAGGTGCATCCACTCTTTGTGTGCTTTTTAATTCTAACCTTCTGAATTCCTAATAATCTTTATCTTTCTCCTTCTAAATTTAACTCACTGAATTATACTTTTCCAATCATATCTTTGCTCCCTAATGTTCTCCATTACTGCTAATACTTCTACTATCACTATCACTCTTGGATTTGAACTGACAGTTACGTCTCTGTGCTGACGTGTTATGGCAACCTGAACTGATGTACTTATGTACTAAGTTCTGCGTTGTATCTGTCTGTCGATAATTTGTGAATAAAGCATGTTTTTTGGTGACTTTTGGTGACTGATCTTGTCTTTGATATCAGTTCATTAATGAGTAGGCGGTGTTGAGTCGTTAATCTAGTCTGGTGAGCGACCAGTACTCAGTACTTACCGATTAGTATTGTATTCTTGAATTGTGAAAGTGAACTCAAGTTTAGTTAAAGGTAGGAGAATGATTGTTACCTGCTAGTTGGCCACAATGTTGATTACTTCTTCTAAAGGGATCCGAAAAACAGACTGAATCGGAGATGGTTTTGACCACTTGGAGGTATGGTCTGTATTCCTTAGGGAAAACCGCTGGAGGTTAGTCAAAAATGGTGATTCTGTGAGTAATTGTAAATGTATTAGTTTCATACTTTAAAGGCCTTACCGCTGGTGAAGATGTAAGGGGTAAAGTCTAGTGAGTTTTTGTTCGTGATCTTTCCCAACCTGCTCCCGACCGAAGCTGCTACCTTGACGTGGTGGTCGGGCCAACACCAAAACCAGAATTTTCAACACAAATATCAAGGCACTTCTACTGTATCGGGCGGAAACTTGAAGAACCACGAAAGCCATCACTCAGACGATACAAGTATTCATTAACAATTGTCTACGCAAAATACCTCGGATTCGTTGGCCAGACACCATCAGCAACAACCTACTGTGGGAAAAAACAAACCAGATCCCAGTGGAAGAACCGCTGGAAGTGGATGGGACACACATACACCACGTCACAAGACAAGCCCTCACTTGGGACCCTCAAGGCAAAAGGAAAAGAGGAAGGCCAAGAAACACATTACGCCGAGAAATGGAGACAGACATGAGAAGAATGGACAAAAATTGGACAGGACTGGAAAGAGAAACGCAGGACAGAGTAGGTTGGAGAATACTAGTCGGCAATCTATGCTTCATCGGGGGTAACAGGCGTAGGTAATTAAGATATTCACAACTTTATTTATTCACTCTATGTTGACTTAGTGAGCTTCTATGAGTAGGTAAGCGTCAAAACTTCATAAAGTGATAGGTTTATCATATTTCTTTTTTTGTACAATAGCCAGAAGTAGAAGTACAAGAATACGAGTTTCATGACTTCTTCTAACTTGATAGACAACTGGATAACAGATTAACGTTTACAATAAGTTAAGTTAATGAGCATGAAGTTGACCAGTTGTCCTGAATAGTACAATACACGTATTGTGGATTTAATTGCTAGATTCTATACAAATGTATACAAAAATATACGCTTATTCTGACTAGTTCATTCACTACAGACAAATAAGTTTGAAATGGTGGAGAATATTTTCAGCTCAGAATGAGAATTTAAGAGGTATTGCGCTCGCCCTGGGTTGAATGGTTCACTATCAAAGTTTTCACAGATCACAGACATGTGTTTAACAATTGACTAAGAACTTCATCTGTTAATCTCCAGTGTTGGAGACAAACAATAAAAACTAGAGAAATTTCAGGTGGGCAGATCACTTTTAATGTGAAGCATATTTTAATAATATTGTCTTAAAACAAGCAAACAAACAAACAGACAGACAGACAAATGAATACTTCACAAGCTAACTCTATCCAGGTTTAGAGAACAAGTGAATGTGAATAAATGTAGTTAGTAGTATTCCAGCAAAAAGGTACGAAGCAGAATGTATTTCCTTTTTTTTTGTTTTTGTTTTGGCAAATAAACAACACTAGAAAACAAACAAATATTGTCGTTAATTAATTAATTGATTAATTAATTAATAAATTCATTCATTTAGCTGAAAGTCAACAATGTACATATTAGTTTGTCAAGTAAATATCTAAAACTTTGTAATATGAATGAATTTCTGTGTGTTACGAGTGTACAATTTTCCATTTCCGGTCAGTATAAAAAACAAACAAACAAACAAACCGAAGTTACATAATATATGCGTGTATGTGTGTGTGTGTGTGTAGTTTTACTGCAATTGTAGTCGCAGTGGCCTGGTTCATGTTTCGTTGTTGTTCAAATATGGGACAAATACAAAAAAAAATCAAAACAAAACAAAGGTCGACAAAGGTGGTAGTAGTAGTAGTAGAAGTAAAAGGGAACAGAAATCAAAGAGAAGAAGACGAAGATATTCTGTTGTGAAGTTACATGGAAGAATAAAAGTAATTTGTAGAAGAATATAGTCGCCCATGTATATGTATATATGTATATATATATATATATATAAACATACGCACACAAAAGTGGACCAGTGTGTATTTAATTAGAAATGAAATATACATGGATGACAGACAGTGAAGACGACAATCACAACATAAAAGCAAACGGCAAGGGAAGTAGGCGAAAAATGAAGTGAAAGAGAGGAGGAGGAGGTGGTGGTGGAGGATTGGATTAAATAAATTTTCTTTGAAAGAATCTGAAAAGATCTATTGTATGAGATTTGTTTATCCACATGGTTTGTTATAGTTATTGTTTGTAAGCTGCCGTTGTTGTGTGGCAGAAGAGAATCCGTGTGATGTAACAATTTCGATATATATATATATATATATCACATTAATCACAACAGGGATAATTTGTTATACATTCAGTAAGTAATATTATCAAAATGAATTTAGTGTTTAAAGAATCGGTAGACCTGCTTTTTCACGACATTTTTGCACAGTAGCTCGTAGCATAAACTGTCGACGAGACAATTCACGTACTTTCTAGTAATACCAAAAAAGAAAATAGAAGTAGTAGGCAAAAGTTGATTAAAAATTAAAATTCTATCTTTCATAATACAATATTCACAAGAGTGTAGATTTCATTTTTTTCAAATTTTTCAATATTCAATGAGAAAGCTTAACAATGTGACAACTGTACAGAATCGGTTAATTTCTAGTAGACAGAATAAAAGAATGCAACATATCACATTTATAATTTACAAAGCAAACTATGAACTCTATTGTCTTACTACTTACTTATGTTAGTATGAGAATTAGACTATGTTTGATTATTGATTATGAGTACGAAACAAAAACAAATCAAAAGCTTAAAAAACAATATGATTACATTTCTAATAAGCTATGGAATTCTAACTAACAGTAAAATGATAATCTCACAGTACAGACGCTCAAATTTAAGAATGAAGGAATAAACTCATGAATAGCATAGTACAACATCATTTTGCAACATAAAAAATCCAAGTGAAAACAAACAGTGACTCTATCTATATCATTATAAATGATTTTATTCAATAATCAATAAATCCAAGGACTGACACTCTAGTCTCAGTTTAGTTGGTTTTATTTCAATCTATTAGTTAGTGTACATCAACCAGAAACATGAAGGGGTTGAAGTACACACTGATTGAGCAAATACTTTAATTAATAAGGATTTACAATGTTATTGACTGAGCTACTAAATTTGTTTAGTTCTCTGTATTCAACCTTAAATGATATTGCTTCCTGTTCTTAAATTTGGTACTCACTAGAAACAAACAGTTCATTAAACATAATTGCAACAATAGTTAGTCATCATTATTTGTTCACTAACCTATAACACTGAAAAACTTATCCAAAAACTTTGTAGCTTGGTTTAATTGGTAATTAAAGTCATGTGTTACGATCACTACAACTGAATGTTTAACTATTTAAAGGAGGTTAGAAAGCTATCGGTGAAACTCTTTGAAATGTAGCCAGAGAATGTGTAGGCAGGAACGAAGCGGAGACAGTGAACATCGCTGTTTTTCTGGATTCTTACTGCACCACTTAATCGTATAGTTTACACACAGCTGTCCACAGGAATTCAGAAGAACCTGTTATGTTTAAGTTAAAGCAGGCCAGAGAAGTAATAGAGAAGTCTTCAAGTACACGAAGGGTAATTAGCATTTGCTCACCGTAATAGCTATGCGGATTCAAATGAACGATCAACCTAAGATCCCAGATGCTTGTCTGAGAGTCAGAATACAATTATAACAGGAGATACTAGTGTTAATAGTGAGGCAAGTTGTCCGCTACATAAATATGGTTCGGATATTGAAGGCTCTTACAGTCTAAAGGGTGGCTTCAAGAAACCTGGGAGGAGATCTAGTGAGTTCGACTGTTAGCACTGGTTGCATGTATGAAAGAAATCGAAGGTGGTAAATAAAGATTGATAATAGAAGTAGAAGAAATATTACGAAATCAAAAGGGATTCGATCATTAACAATGTGGTCTCGATTACTATTAGAAATGTGTGGGCGGTTGTAACTTAACGGTTTTCCACACCTTAAAAGGATAATTCTTTTCGGGGTACCTGACAAGAAGGTTGGACTAGAAGTGGCTATACTCACCCAGAAGTGTAATCAGAGCACACTAAGGATAGCTGCCTAAGGCCAATGACACATAATTTTTTAGTGGATAGTTTTCGATGCAATAGTTCTACATTTTTAAGATCCTACTTCCGAAAATGTAAATTTGTTAGATGAACATTATACCAGAATGAAAATAAGAGGGATAGTAACCCTCATGAAAAACTTACGGATTACTGCTGTATATATCCTTATTCTATGATTTTCATTGAAATCATAAGTCGATCAAAGTCAGACCACCAATAGAAATGTGGAAGCACTGAACGGCTGTTTCATCCTAGTATGGGACTCATTAGCAGTGCGCATCCACGACCCCCACACACAGGGATCGAACCAAGGATCTTTGATTTCGCGCGAACGCCTAACCTTTAGGTCACTGAGCCGGCATCGAAACGGTGTTAGTGTCTTACTTCAGTGAATCTAAAGTATTGCGCAAATTTTATGATGACATTATTGTATGGCTATTATATGTTGATATTCTTCTTATCTATTGATTATGTTTAGATGGTCTACTATTTTTGTCACGTGAATATCCAGTCAGTGGTAGGAAGTTATAATGATGGGCAACAGAGAGGACGTGTAATTGATTATATCAGAGACATGTAGGGCGATGTGTTGCTTTTATAGTAGAGTCGTCGCAAACGCTAGTAGTCTGAAGAAAGTATACTTCTGTCGCTACAAACCTGTTCAGTCAGCAGGATGAATTTGCTCTCGTGAATCGACTAGCCACTCTTAGTCTTATTGTTCACCATCTGATCCTCTAGGCATGGTAAAAAAATACATGCGCTTAAGGAATATAACGGGTCATCAAGGTATGCAAACCTGACCAACATGTTAAGGTAGCAGCTACAGAGTTGAGAATTAGTAGCGCAAAGCTTTCACTATCAACTAAACACTGTACAGAATTAAATATGTGAATAAGTAGCCAAGAATGAATACTGCTCTGTTACTATTATCACTACTACTAATACAATAATACGTAGAGTGATTAGTAAGAGCAATTTAGAAAATTACTGATCAGATTGTCCTAGTGTTTTTGTGAAAAATCGAATGTCTACCGCCTACTTATGTAAATAAACATACACTTTCAAGTTATGAGAGTATATGTGTTTTGCATACTACAACTACTATTGACAATAATAATACTAGTAATCAATACTTATACAATGAATAACTTAAATATTGAATTAGTTTTGTGGTATAAAACTACTAATTTTATTAGTCTTTACAACCCTCGGTGCATCAGAAGGTACTGATTTAACGATTTGTGTGTGGATTTGTGTCTTATATATTACAGCATCACTTAATACTGAAACAAAATGAGAGAGAGAAAATATATATGAACTGGAAAATATTTCATTTACTTCCTGATTTTTTTCTTTCTAAGCTGTAATAATACAGTGAATCATACAGATTGAATGAAACATGGAATGTCAACAAGTTGGCATTTATCCGTCTCTGACAGTAAGGCCTTGTCAAGAGCGGAGCCGACAGATCAAAAAATTCCCGTAGAAAGATGCAGTTATCGGTTGAGCTCTGTGGTCCGGCTCCTAGATAACTAAGACCAAGCACTAACCTTACTTTCTCAGGTCGTTCAAGAAGAAATATCCTTATTAGTTGTGGGTAGTCGTGAAGTGACAACCATACTCATACCTTCAACAGTACACGAGATCATCTTGTTCACGATCGAATTCCTCCCTCACGTGCTAATAATTCTCTTATCCCCACGACTAACTCTTATTATATATCTCTATCACTTTACCCATTACAGTTTACGAAACGATAAAGCGTTAGGTTCAAGAGAAGAACCAACTTTCCTAGGCTGGATTTCAATAGACGATCGCTTGTGTATTGTCGGGTTAAGTGAGACAGTGAAACTTGGAAAGATAGCGATGCATGCTGTTGCCTCTTCGTTGTCACTGCCTAGCAGCTCATGCGAAGTAAAAGATGAATATTATAGATTGCTTTTCAACCTTCAAAAAGCTGAACACTCAGAGGTAGTAATAGTGGTTAGTGGTTTTTAATGTCTAAATAGATAGACCAAAGGTACCTAGGTGGATTTTAAGGTGATACGGTTCGGTGAACAAACAATGGCAACAGTCTTCTGTTACTATGCTCAGTTAACCGTCTATTTCTAGTAAGCACCAACTTGAAGCATAAGGAAATACATCATTTGACATGGTGATCTCCATAATCGACTCAATGTTAGATTCAAATAGACCGCATTGCCATCGTTTGAGGGGTTCGATAGAAGACCACCACTCATTCTGAAGCAAAACTCTAGACTCAGATCATGCTGTAGCACGAGCACGTATTTGTTTGTTTACTATTAGACTTGAGAAATCCCATAGTAAGGACACGTCATGAAGTTTAGATTAAGAAACAAGCAAAAAGTACATTTCAAAGTCAATTAGTCAACCATGCAGGTGATACCCACTCTGAGGTAGTTTAGAGTGATATTGGAAAAAAACAAATACGCAGTAAAATAAATCACATTTCATAATAAGAAAATTATTTTTTTCATTAATTCTTGAGTTTTATCATTTTATTTGAGCATTTAAAATCATGACTTCTTTATTTTTTACATATATGTGATTATATTGTATTATACATCTAACAATGAAACCAATTGATAAGACTTACTTTCAAGTAAATTTCAACATCCAACACATTTTTACCCATTGCTTCACCTAAATAATAAATTGCATCTTCTATAGCTTGTTCTTCCGCAAATGAAACAACTAATTGACGATACAATGGAGCCGTTGTATCGAATACTTCATCAATTACAAAAGTTGAATCCGATTTACGCAGTTTCTCTGAAGTCTCTTCTAAATCTTTAATTTTTCTCTTAACTGATTCCATTTCTGTACAAACTCGATCCTGACAAAGTATTTTAAAAAAGAAAATATGAATGGATAAAATAGAGAATAAATTCTAAGCGTTTCACTGTATACAAAAAAAGAGAATAATACACTGAATATTCCTATCCTGACAATCCAAATTACAAAATAGAGAACGTTAATGAACTAACTGTGCATGGTCGTGTTATACTGTGGAATGTGTCAAATAAGAGGTTTGAAACAATTAGCCACCTCATATGTATCGAAACTCCGCAAGCGCATATGACACTGGTGCATACACATTGAAATTGATCCGTTGTGATAATGTAGCTTTCATGTTTAGAGTAAATGAAATGTCAGTTTTAGTAGTTTACACAATAAATTTACTACACGCACAGTGCATCATAACACCAATATTGTTGTTAAATGTAAGGTTTATGAATTGTATCTTCTTTGTGACCGATCATATAGTCTTGTAAGATTGTTTACCGCGCGTATACGTTGTTTAGTCAGTCAGAATAATATTTTTATACATAGAATTAGGCAGAAATGTAAGTTAGCCAAAGTTCTAGACATTCAAGTTTATTTGATAAGCTTTAAAAAAAAGAATTTGTCATAGATTATGGAAATTTCGGTGAATGAACAAGATTGTTTATAGTTACAAGGAATAGATAAGCTAACTGGATCAATAGACGATAAGCAAAGATACTTGTCCGAGTGAAGGTTGCTCAAGAGACTGGATTATATTGACTTGAAACTTCAAATGAATTGATGTTAAAAAAACAAGACCAATAGTTACAAGAGTAATCATTTTCTTATTGAATAGAATAGAATAGTTAGACATAAGTTGTTTAGTTTTATTTCAGTTTTACCTTGAATACCTCAGAGTGAGTAAAAGTGTATGATCAGATTTATTGAAAATGTGCATTGCACAAAATGAATCATAGAGATATCCCCCTTTATTTCACAATTCAAATTTGCACATAGGTGTTATGGATTATGATTTATTGAGTGGTGGTGTATGATTTGAGGAATGTTACACTAATGCCCAAAATGATGATTGGTATTTGTCAAGGGAATCTTGTGGTTTACATTATGGACTGACATAACTTAAACAATCATTGAAAACCAAGAAGCACTGGACAGTAATTTTATGTCAGCGTAAAACTCTTCCCGAGTGTGCACCCACTACAGGAAACTGAAGCCAAAACTTTCACGTCCTGTAGTGAATGCTTAACCTATAGACCACAAGTAATTGGCATCCAATAATTCGTGTTTAACTTCGACCGATTTGCGAAAAGAAAGATAAAAAACCTTTTTTCGATAAAATATTAATTTATATGCATTGATTGTTTAAATCCTCCCATTGATGTGTAGGATTGTGATTGATCAGTCACTTTTGACATTTGTGTACAACCTAAGCGAACTATCTCAGTATTGCCACTAAATCACAAATCGTTTAGACAGAGATCGATGGTGGATAGCAGTGGAACCAAGGGGGCGCATTTCTTCCTATTCAGGGCTTGTCAGCTAGGTATACCTGTATTCTGGGGTTGATTTACACCCCGATACTCGAACCCAGTACCATTCGCTTTAAACATCGTGTTATTCACTTAGCTTTGTAACGATAGCATTTACTGAAGCTATACAATAGTATTGCGGAGTATATAATCTTCCATTGACTCATGAGCCTCTGACATCTCTTTTAGTCACATATGTAAGGTATATTCATTTTTCTATCCTTCTCTAACCTTCAGATCGTTATGCGACTTATTTGAAACTTGAAATCGCCGAACATTTTATGATATAATTTTTTTATTATTCTTTTTTTGACTCATCTATCGATTAAATCACTATTTGTACAGCTTGAGTAAATGATGTGTGTTTGGAAAGAAATCTATTTTCACTAACTCATCTTTACGTCTTTTTCAATGACATGAGGTTGTAGATGGCTAGACTGAAATGCTGGTGGTTTTGAATCCAAACGATCATTGTAACTAATGGTTGGAGATGATGTCGAATCGATTGTAATAGGGTAAAATGGATTCATTCTTTTCAAATCATATACCTAATCTTCTCTATCACAACTGATAATATTACTATTTATGTTACTTGTCAAACACATTTATGTTGATAATTTCACCTTACAGGTGTGGTAAACTTGAACCAATTATGCGAATTCTCCTCATGAATATGTGTCAGTCAGTTGCAACGTAGTTGCAACATAAGTTCATGTTGCCATACCACATTAGCACAGAGACGCAAATGTCGAATCCAATCCCATAGTGATAAAGATAGTACAGGTATTATTGGTAATGAAGAAGACTAGGGTTTGAAGATATTATTCAAGAAGTATAATTCAGTGAGATAAGGTTAGAAAGACAAAGGTAGAGGTGCTGACGAATCTAGAAGATTAGGATTTGAGAGAGCACAACGAATGGATGCACTTGCGCCATTGCAAACGATTCTGAGCTATGTCGTTTAAGGTCTCTAACCATTGGTGACTTTCGCCTCGTCATGAATATCTATCAGTTTGTCTATCGGTAAGGCCGTCTCTTTCGTTATTTAAATGCGAAAATATCTACTGATTTACTTTTTCTTGTTGCATTTTATTAATCATCTCGTGAATTTTCTGGCCACCACTAAATAAACCAGTTTGAGTTTGACGTATTGCTTGTAAGTCATCTTGATGTTGATAGATTAATTCTTTTTGTACTCGACGAACTTGATCAACTACAGCAGTTAATACAGATAATCGTAATTGTTCTTCGTTTAATGTGCCTGAAATTTTTAACAAGAAAAAAAAGACAAGATAAAGGAATTTTAAATAAGGTGGTCGGGTGAGAGAAAATATATTAGATTCAAGTACATACATGTATAGTTTTGCATTTAATGACAAAGTAAAATGTTCATGTACTCGGGATTAGAGCCACAGTTTTTATATAAGTTTGAGTGGGAATGTAATATGACACCATTTGGTTGCAGAAATTAGAATGAGTGGGAAAACTCAACAGTTGAATAATTGGATTATAGCTCTCTCGAGCGCAGCTGCTAACTTGATATGGGGGTAGTCAGGCTTGTATATTATGATGATTAGATACAACTATGTTGTCTGGAGGGCTCACTTGTTTTTAGGTTTTACCATACCAAACAGGCCAATTGAAGAGTGGTAAAATTAAAAGCAGTCGCCCTATCGGCTGTACAGGGTTGCGGTGGTAGGAAGATGTTTTCCTCAGATAACTAGCATTTCGAAGTCTAACAAAGGAAGGGCTTGGAAAAGGTAAACCATGGAAAGATGCACACCTTATCAATCAGAATACTGATTCTAACTCGGTCTATCTCGCGCTCATTATTTACTCCATGGCTTAGTGTCTCTGAGCTGACCAGTTACACATTCGCCCAGAACTATTTACCTTGAGTGAGAAGCTAAGTTCCACTTGGTCTATGATCAGCAAGCTTATCTTTGCCCTGCTCTGCGAGTTCAAAACCAACCTTTTCAATGTTTATATTTCAAACAGACTTAGTTTATATACAAGCAGATCAAGATCGCATCACACTGTAAATAGAAAAAACAATTGCATATGATCAAGTCGAAAAGTGACTGCGAATAGATCAGGCTGGAAAAAATAGACTGGGAACAAATGAAGAATAGTAAATTGTATAACAATAATGAATGAGTCAAACGAAAGGAATGTACATTGACAGCGATCTAGTTACTATAGAATGCATATAACAATAGTAATAATAATGATCCATAAATTAGTTATCTGGAAGTTACTATGCCTTCAATCTTCGATATAATATATAGCACAACTATTGTTTGACGAATAAGTGCATGGGCCTTAAAATCCATCCAGTCTAGACTATAACAATGCGTATTTCCAGCAAAATCAACGCTTACTTCATCATTGCATTTAACTGCATGACTGATCTGATTTTTACACTTAGATTATTTTACTCATGTGTAATGTTAGTTTCTCCGATCAACTACAAAGATTAGTTTGTCCTTGGCCATAGACAGAGGTTTTTTATGTTTACACCATTTCTGATACCAACTGCATACCAACACACACACACACACACACAAACAAACACACAATTTTGAATTTTCACGTAATGAACTATTATTTACACGTCAAATTGTCATTTGATCTAACCATACACAAGATAAAAACATGACTGGACGGAACGTACATCCTGAATTCCATTGCTAGATATTAATCCATCCTTTCTAGGCATACTTCAGATGTTAAAAAATAGAATAGAAGATTCACAATAAGTCAATAAGAAGGTACGAAAGAGATGTATGAAATAAAGCTTTAACATAATCTCAATCGTTAGACGTATCTTAAATTTTTTTTTCATGCAGTTGATAACATTCTTATTAAGAAGATAATTAAATAGTGCAACAGTTGATGCTATTCATTAAATATATGTAGGCTTATATGCACTAGAGCTGTGAAGTACACTTACACTATGTAATAATAAAAAATGCAGCATCAATTATACTGGGCCAATCTAACGCAGGTTAGATGGGAAGTTAAATATACTGACGGGTGCTTACTACTATCGGTTGAAAATAAGAACAATAGTAACACACATATTATTGTCAAGTACTGAAGACAAAGTTTTTTTTATCGACTAAAAGTAGTGCACTAGTGTAATCCTAACTGACTCCTAAAAGTTACTTACTAAGAAACCCAAAAAAGAAACTGTTTTATGTACACTTACAAGAAAAATTCAAGTCGAGAAAAGTAGAAATAAAAAATAACTGCAAACTTTGTGTCTACATGTGTAGCTGAAATAGAATATTCTTGTTCATGAATAATAACTTTAGTAAATGCCATATTATTGTCTTTTTTTTCTAACAATCACATTCACTATTTAAGAAAGTAAACACCTACAATTATTTAATTACAAATTGAAGTTTAACCAGTTAGTCTATTTTAGCTGTAGATATTTTCATACACACATAATAGGATCACAATTAGTAATTCAATGTTATCTTGTAAACTTTATTAATACTGGTCATTTACTGTTTCAATTTCATACTAAATGATTACATAGTTTATCCATTTGTTTTTAATCGATTGTCACAAACACCATATATTAATGTGAAGATAAGTTTAGCTCAATAACCTAAGATAGATTTTTGTACGTAGTGTTGAACAGCGTCACCTAGTGATGAGTTACTTAATAAACCTTCAATTTAAGATCACCCGACATGAGTATACATAAGTTAAAGTTCTTACACCTTATATCCGAACAGAACAACAAGAGTGGAAGAACCACAGGGATGTAAATGTCCAAACATGATGAATAAAGTTCAGAATCATAAGATAAAATGACGGAGAGTCGGGGATATTGTTCAAAGTATCTGAACCTAAGCATGCAGAGTGAAGTCCAAAGTTGTAACCGAATGGTTAAAAGTCAGGGGAAACAACCATTAGATTCATAATTCTTTATTACTACCGCTAAAGTATTACAAATTCTTTAGTTATTTTCGTATTGTTGTGCGAATCCAGTAAGGTTACTTAAACCAGTGAGCATTTATGCCAGGCTCTATGTTGATTATGTTTACCTGTCTGACTGCACATGTACCATAGCCTGATACACAAGTCTATATGCGGTTGCTTAGTTGCTGTATCATTTTATAACTCAAGAAATTAGACAAAACAACATCACTGATATTAAACACTATAGAGCACTAATGATTGTAGAGTAAAATTGACTAAATTTTTAATTATTTTTAGATTGTTTCCAGAGAATCTAACACAAATAAATGACCTAATCTCCTAATTTCGACAAAGCTAATAGTTAGAGTGTACTACGAATCGATTGTGTATTACACGAAATTCCCAGTCAAAAAAAGTGAAATGTTTAATTTGTGTTTGGGCGTACATCGGTTCAAGCTGCCATTCAACATTAACACACAGGGATTGAATAGCTGACTCGAATCCCACAACATTTGAGGTAGTAGAAGTATTGGCGGTAATCAAAAAGATTAGTGGTCGAAGATATCAATTGAGAAGTATATCCCAGAGGAATCAATTTCAAAAAGAGAGAGAGAAGAAAAGGATGGTCATGAGGAATTCAGTAGATTAGAATTCGAGAGAAGACAATGAGTGGATTCACATGCGCCATTGCAAGCGATTTCAAGTCATGTTATTCAAAGTCTCTAATCATTGGTTAATATTGTCTCGTAGACCTCAACCAGTTCTCAGTTCATGGCTCAGTTCAATTGTCAGTGACTTCATGGATTTCTGCCATATTTTGGTCTGGCCGCCCCTGACTTTCTTTCAGCCTAAGTCTACACCACAAAACATAGCTCGTCGAGGCAGTCGGTGGATAGGCATACGTAACACATGTCCCAACCACCTCAACTGATGAAGTTTCAATACTTCACCTAATGACTTGCAATCCCTACCTAGTACTTGTTTCCTAACTATTGCATTGCTTATTTGGCTGTCCCAGGATATACGAGCAATGCTTCGGAGACATCTACGATCGAAGACTAGTAACCTACGAAAGTCCTCAACTCTTAACGGCCATGTCTCGTATCCATATAGGAGGACGGAGCGAACTGATGTGCAGTAGACTCGTCGTTTGGTTAGTAAACGGATATCTCGCGTTCACCATAAGTGACGCAGGATGGCAAAACCCAATCGAGCCTTCTGTATCCGTGCTGAGATTTCTTCAGTCACCAGGCCATCAGCACTGAAGAGACTCCCCTGATAAGCAAAGCGGTCAACACGTTCAACTACTTTGCTCCCTATCACTAGTTCAGGTGCCGATGCAAGCCCATCTTGAAGCAACATATTACATTTCCATGGGAAAAACCGCATCCCAAACATGCTTGCATTGTTGCTTAGGATAGTCAGAAGACTGCATTTTGTCAGAGTCTTCACCGAATAAAACTACGTCATCGGCATATTCTAAGTCAACAAGCGTGTCTGCTGGAAGGTCTACCCCTGAAGAGTCAGACGAAGATAATGTTAACTCTAAAAGCATGTCTATGACAAAGTTATACAGGAATTGCGAAAGTGGACAGCCCTGACGAACACCACTTGAAGTAATGAAGTCCGATGACAGTTCGCTATAAGCTCTAACTTGACTAGTGGTGTTCAAGTAGAGAGCGTGTATAAGGTTATTGTACCTCTTTGGTACACCTTTTAGTGACAGACAGTGCCAAAAAACCTCACGGTAGACAGAGTCGAATGCTGCTTTAAGGTCGAGAAGAACTAAGATTGTGGGGTGTCTGAACGCGTCGTTGTGTGACGTAGTGTGAATATCTTATCTATACATCCACGTCCAGGTCAAAAAGCAGCCTAGTCTTCACGAGGTTAACAAGTTAGATACCATATTAGTTAGACTTATTCCTCTGTGGTTGTCACAAGAGGACTTTTGTCCTTTCTTATAGACTGGGACAACCAGTGATTGAGACCAGTCAGATTGGATTACGCCCAGTTCCCAGATTCGACCTAAGATCTCAGTCAATCTAACTGCTAAAATTGGACCAACATCCTTGTAAATCTCAGAGTTAAGCCTATTAGGTCCTGCTGCTTTCCCTCGATTCAGGTTTCCCATAGCTTTTTCAACTCCATAAAGATTCGGAGGGTTTATGTCGACTTGTCATTCCGGATGACTGGCGATCGTGGTTGACCGAAGTGTGGCTGAAGGCCAGTTGAACTGATCCCTAAAGTGTTCTGCCCATCGATCCAATCTCCTGGATTGAGAATAAATAATAGTCCCATCGTTTGCCAAGATGGTCCCACTCACATTCGGTTTCCTTGATAAGTCGGAACAACTGTCTGCTGTTGCCTATCGCCGCTGCCTCTTCCACCTCTTTCGCTTCCGCCACCTACCACTGTTCGCCATCATTGCATAGGCTTATCAGCCCGAGCTTAAGCTGACTTCGCTCTTCGTTATGTTCAGAGCCAGGAGGGATGAGGTTCCGAGCGTCTATCAGTTCGGTGGATGCCACTGCGATCAACGGCATCTTCCTAGCCTTATGGTTTACCTTGCTAGCAGATATCACTGCTGTTTCCTTTTTGATATCATTCCAACCTGCCTCCCGATGGGAATATATTCTTAGCTATACTGTCATTAAGTAGAACCCTAAGAGGTTTTCTGGTAGTGTTTCCCCTACATCCAGTTAGCCGTAAACAAATACGTGCTCCCACCAGAGCATGATCTAAATCTAAATAAGTGCTCCAAAATGAGCGGCAGTCTTCAATAGATCCTCTCCACCGATGGCTGATAGCAATATGATCTGGTTGGATCCATCGTAGGGTCGGCTTTGTGGGGTCGCCAGGTCAAAAGATGCTTTTTCTCATGCTTAAAGTTAGTGTTTGCTAGAAACAGGCCGTTATTTGAGTATAGCTGCAGCAGACAGTCGCTATTATTTGATCTTTGAGTCATGACACCATAAGATCCACCCCGGTGTCTTTCCTCTTTATTACTATATTAGAGCGCTTAAATTTCTGGAGGAGGTCCGAAAGCTTTCTGTAGAACTCATCTTTCACCTTGTTCGAGCTGCAGCCAGTGGGAGCGTAGGCAGATACGACGAAGAGGCAACGGCGAGTCCTTACTATCCCGTTTAGTCGGACAACGCATAAGCGACTATCTGCTGGGATACAGTCTAGAAGAGCTAGTTCTGCCCGACGACTCAATGCTATACCTACACGCGCGAGATCCCAGGAAGCAGCAGCAGGGCTTCCAGATACAAGAAGAGTAAACTGAGCTGCTCCTTTATTTTGACATGTGAGGTCAAGTGAATTACGCCACTTGGATCCTGTATGCGCGTTTCCGAGACGCAGCATACATCGATGGCACGAGATTCTAAAGTCCTAGCTAAGGAAGCCTGATGCCCTATTTGACACAATGTCCGTACATTAAAAGCTCCAACATATAGTCTAGAACGAGGTTTCAGGAGATCAGGAATAGCGTTTCGGGAACTCCAGTCGTTTGCATCAGCGGTGCGGGGTGATAAAGGAATGTGAGAAGATTTAGTCGTGGGGATAAAGGGTGTAGGAAGGATTTGAATGTGACTGATTCGGTCTCGTGTGCTGGTACTGGTATGAGGGCGGATGTTGCTTCCCGGCTGCCCACGCCGTGGGAGTGTTTCTTGAGGAACCTGAAAAGGAAAGTAGAATAATGTTGGTCATTGAGACCTGGGAGCGTGACCGCAGTTCCCGAGGAACAACTGCCTGACGCCGATCACGCACGGCCTTTTTATGAGAAATTCTTGAAGTGTTAGCTTCGTTCTTCTTAAAAGCCCCTATCGCCGGAGACGGACATTCGTGAAGTAAGGTGATGTGTGACATTTTTAGGGTCAACCTTTTCTAACCCCTTCCTTCCTTCTGAGAAGGCAGCATTGCTGCAGATGCTGGTTGTCCGAGGGAAACACCTTACTGTTGTCACACCCCTCTGCAGACAGCAGTTCGACTTCGCCTTGAGTAGCTGCTGCTTTTAGTCTCATCGTTCTCCAATCGACCTGCGTAGCATGATAGAACCTACAGCAACATATGTTCGTGTACATATAGCTCGGTTGGGTCATCACAATAAGCAAACCCGACCACCACATCAGGATAGCAGCTACGATCGGGTGGTGCTATATTACTCCAGACTGAATAAAAATATCGAAAATTTAGGTTTGAATAACATGTAAGTGTCGAATGACATAAACTGTAGTGTCGATACCTTTGGAATCTTCGATAATTCTTGATTTCTCACGGTCGCGAATGGCACAATCTATCAAGTAGTGATCAAAGAAATGTTTGCATAAAGTGTAGTCCCTAGGGAAACACAAAATATGCCATTATGTCACCGTAAATTATCATGTAAAAACTGACTGCCAAGAATGTATGCGTGTAAGTATAAACTTCAAAAGTCTGGAGTATAAACAAAAACATTATTGCAGATAACTATTTGCTAAATGTTTAACACAACTATTGGAATAAGTCTTTTTCATATCAGTCTTTATACACTCGACAAAGAGCAATGAAAACGGCACGCATACATACATAGATATATGCGACATGAAGTAACTATATGTGACAGTTCATTACACTTAAAGCATCGAGTCAAAATCACAATACAACTAGATGAAGCAAAAAGCTGGAGAGTGTTCAGCCTTATTTACGCATATTATACTACTTTTGCGATCATTTTATTGAAATTTGAGATCCATTGTTAGACTAAAACGCAGAAATAGTTGAAATATTTGCAAATATAAATTTAACATTAAAAACAATACAAATTGTACTTACCAGTATTATATGGCACATTAGATGAAGCAGAAAGATCTGAGCACACTGGCATTGGCATACCTTGACCCGGCATGGGGTATATGTTTGGATTTGTAGTCTGAGCAAAAGGATTGGCAAAACTGGGCATTTGAGGCATAGGCATAGTAGGAAGTATGGGTACAGAACCGGGTATCTGCCATCCGGAACCAAGTTGGGGTAAATACACATTGGAAGCTTGGCCATTCGGTGTGACAGGGATCGGGGGTTGTGGTAAGGTACCTTACATAAATCAAGGAGTAATATACTCGTGATTTTAATTTTAAATTAAATATAAATAGTAGATCACAATTACAGAGGAAAGAATCCGTGGTTTTTAATTACTATGATGATTAAACAATAACGATAACTAACCTGGATAAGGCACTGAACCAAGACAATGAGGATTTGACTGAGGATTTAAGCTTTGTCGCTTTGCGATAGGAGCAGCTTTGGTAAAGACTGGAGACGTCTCACCAAACACAATCTGCAATACTGATATTAATCCAATTAGATCTGCATCTGGCTGTCGGGTTTAAACAAAATAGATGAGGATGAATGATAAGAAATCGAATTCTTAGTGAGGTACAGTAGTTACGAAAAATAATACTATCACAACATCGGCAATTTAGGTAGAAAGTAAAATTGTCATGAAATATTAACGACTTTGAACTGACAAATAACTCTATAGTGTAGAAACGTAGAACGACGAACATATATCCCAGGTTTTACGTTGCGCATGACTGGTTGTATATAGTAATACATACTACTCTAGTTTAACACATTAGTTAATATTATAAACTCTTACACTCTTAATTATTTCCAATATTGCCGGTTTGCTTTCTATGACATGTTTAAAGTGCTACGATTCGCATTATTAAAATGCAAGTGATGAAGATATCAAGATGGATACAGAGACATAAAGATGAACAGGAGATGAACAAGGATTTCATAAATTTGTCAGTTTTTTGGGCGTCTAGTTTCATCACCTAGAATCTTCATATTTTGACCGTTAAAATTTCTCAGAACTCAAATAGGGAGATTACAGTTGCTTCTAAATCTAAGACAATAGTAAATGACAAAAGTAACAACTGCATATCGATCTATACACTTCAAACTTTTTCTAAACCTATTTGATCTTCAGTGTATTTGTAAGATCAGAGCCTTGAAGAGTATAATGTGTTCTAATCATTTGATAAGATTTACATTTCCAAACACCTTGAGCAAAACATTACACCAGAAACATTTTGGACAACCGTATGTTGCACTCAAGTTTCAAAAGGTAGGCGAAAATAACAGCTGAGTAGCTTTCCGGTAGTAACAAAAGGCATCACTACTGACCAGACCTCGAGTACTGTCTTGCATTCAGGAGTTATAAAATATCTAAGTATTTTCAAAAGATTGGTTAAGTTATGTGAAGTGCCTCACAACTTATTGCAGTGGAGTAGATGCACTAATTTTTATCTTACTAAAACAAAAAATCTAAGTAGGACTTCAATTCCTACACAGTCTTATCCTGTTAAGTTGTTCGGTTAGCCAAGCATTAGCAACATCCATTATTAACAGGTCATATGACTTTTGATGTATGTACGTACCAGGTTCTATGTTGTAGCTGACTGACTGACACTTAAATTTACTCAGTTTAAAACCAATGATCACTTCTTATTTAAAGTAATAATTTTTAGCAGAAAATAGTCCGTTTCCTACGAACACATTTTATCAACGATTCATGCAAAATGAAATGCACTGTTTGATATTTCAAAAAAGGATGCCTTGATAAAAAAAATAAAACCGTCTGTTGTTATGGAGTGAAAACTAAATGTTTACAATCCAGTGACTTTTAATTCTTACATTGGGATGAATGTTGTTGAGCATATTAGAACTAGTGAATAAGTTACATGCTTAGATCAATGACTCCCAACTGAATCTGTAACAATATTACAACAGTTTTCAATCTCATTTTATCCATTCTCAATACATTTTGCTTAGCTCCCACCTAATAGAAGATACAGAAGGCTCGGTTGATTTTTATCAGTTTGCGTCACTTATTGCGTAGGTGAGACTTCCGTCTGCTAACCAAACGACGAGTCTACTGCTCATCAGTCAGCTTCGTCTTACTATATGGCCGTGAAACATGACCAGTAAGAGTAGAAGATATTCGTAAGTTACTGGTATTTAATAACAGGTGTCTTTAAAGCATTGCTCGTGTATCCTGGGACAATTGAGTAACCAATGCTGCCATTAGGAAAAGGGTGATAGGTAAGAGTGGCAAGCAAATTGATGAAGTAGTGGTTCTTCATCAGTTCAGGTGGTTGAGACGTGTGTCACGTATGTCAAACCACCGACTGCATGGATGAGCGATAATGCCTGGTGTAGTAGGATGAAATAAAGTTAGGGGTGGCCAGACCAAAACATGGCAGAAATCCGTGAAATCACTAACAAGTGGACTGAGTCATGTCGGTAGAAGTAGACTACCTGATGGAGGTTCGTGAGATAATATTAACCATTGGTTAGAGACTTTGAATGGCAAGGCTCTCAATCGTTTGCATTGATGCAGGTGCATCCACTCATTGTCTTCTCTCAAATTCTAATCTACTCAATTCCTCATGACCATCCTTTTCTTTTCTCTCTCTCTTTTTGAAATAGATTACTCTGGGATATACTTCTCAATTGATACCTTCGATTCCTAATCCTTTTGATTACCGCTACTACTTCTACTACTATGGGATTTGTATTGAAAACTGCATCTCTGTGGTAATGCATGGCAACTTGAATTCATGTACGTACTTACGAAGTGCTACGTCGTAGCTGACTGAATAACTAGCAGAATCGCTACTATTTTCCCTTTATTCAATTTCTTGTTGTTAGCTCTGTTGCTACGTCAATTTAAAGTGTAGCAACTAGGACTAATGTAAGTTTGTCCAAAGTTGTGTTTTAGTACTTAGTTTATTGATTAGGCTAACGGAGTTAGTAGCTAATGTCACGAAATTATTAAATACGGAACAAATAAGGATAGAGTGGCTCTGGGATGTTTTCTGGATCTATCCTTTTTGCTTCGAATCTGTCAAACAAAAGTTTAGTTGTACACAACTGGAGAATAAAATTATCACTACAATCACGTATGCCCACACATTTAATCATACCGAAGAAGCGGTTATTATTTGTAGAAATGAAGTGCCAAGTTTGCATAGGTTCTAAATCGTGATATAAATCTACGAAATGAGATACTTACATCTCCGATTGTAGGATATCCCAGAAATAATACTTGGAGAACAATTGTCAAAGGATGTAACTGATAGTCACTCTGAAGAGAATCAAGAAATCATCTTTAAAGATGATTTAGGAAGGTCTAGACTCAAGAAATGAAAAATATACTGACAGATTTTTCGGAGTAAACTTGATTGTGGAAATTTCATACTGATTGATTTACTTCAAATACTTAAGTCCTAGAGATTAGTATTTTGATTTACAGTACAAAAACGGACTTATTACTTATCTACTTGTTTCGGACGAAACCATACAACCTAAAAGACACTAACTTCAGGTTTCCATATTTCGAAAAGGCGTTGGATTATGGAAACTTTGCAATACCTAAAAACAACTCATAACTTTCAAAGTAAAGCCAGATGAAAAGTGAAGTATGAATCCTCAAGAGAGGACTCATCTGAAATGTAGATTTAGTAAAATGTGGATTTAGTAAGATCTATGTGCACATGGAGCTCGGAGAAACATGTTTTTACACTAAATGGAAGCATGCTCATGAAGACTCACGTGTTTCCAGTCTGTCATGTAAGGGAGTTGAACAAGACCAGCACTATCAACAAAGTCACTTGGTTTTATCTGCATAGTATTTGTAGGCCTCACATAAACCATAGGAGACTTGTGTGGATAAGCTTCCAATAGAAATATTGCAATCGGGATATTGTATGTTGAACCCATATACCTGACAGGGATAGTACCATCTAAACTCACAAGTTTTCGCGAAGTTCCATCATTCTGAACTAAAGAGGACATTAATAAAGATGTAAACATACTGAAATCTTCAAATTTGGGGCGTAATTCCTTATATGTTTCCAGGGCAGTAGTAACATCTCTACGAACGATTTGTGGGTATGTATACTAACGATATGAGTTTGAGTAATGTATATTTAGACTTCGAACCTACCTTTACCAAACATTTAGAGAAAAAACGTTCATAGGTAGACATTTGATGGGTATCCAAATATGCCACACTTGTGAAGGTCGAAAGTTTCAAGGTAGTTCCAAACTCCAGTCTTTATGGATCAGATGTATGGTGCCTAAACGGTCTTAAACAGTGATATTGAGATGTTTGCTGGAAAGATATATGTCTCCTGATGTTTAATTCAACAAAATAATATCTGTTTATGCGCTTGTTGTGAAATATGTATTTTTGTATTAATAGGCACTCATGTGTTGTATTTTTCTGATTGTGACTTGTTCAACAAGTCCGAACTTTAAAATGATTAAATGCAGTTTGATTTGATCATCGTTAAAAGTTTAGCTTTCTTCAAATTTTCCTTTTATTCTATTTATATTGTTGAAAAAGTATTTGAGCCTCTTCACGTAGTTACTGGGTTGAAGGTAGCTGTCCCTAAATAAACACCATAATTTCGATACTGTTTCACATATTTGGTAATGTCCAGTCGTCGTTGACAAAAACGCTCGACCGCATTGACTCTAATTAGTTTGGTAGTAATTTTTGGGATTGTATGTCTTGCGATTCGAGTATGTTTGTCTTGTAGTGGAACGCTTCTACGAAGAAAATAGGATTTGTGAAAAATAAACATTATTGTACTCGTTTTGTTTAACTGTACCTAAAAGAACTTCTTGCGCGCAACGTTCTCTTCGCGTTGCTGCCATTTTTCTAAATGTGCTGCTACCCATGTAATGCCTACTCTCTCCTTCAATAAAATATTGGAACATGGATTTGTTTTGATTTAAATAACGGGATAGTATGGAACATTTAGTGGTGATCATGGTCAATCTGGTATCGCTCACCATTAAAGTCTCATGGCACTAGAGCTTCTTTATACAAGCAGCTGTCACATTACTATGAAAATAAGTTTGTAACGTTTAAGAAGATAATAAATGGACGATGAAAGTGCGAAAACTCTGTTACTAAGTGAACACACTAGAAGATACAATAGGCAAAAGATGTGGATACAGTGGGTGGTTAGTGTCAGATAAGATAACACTTATTAGGAGTTTGCGAGCTTCAAATGCCTACCAACACCAAGTCCAGTGCTTTTTTAAAAAGTTCATTATCAACTCTGCTCACCACCATCATTCTCCACAACGCTGCAGAATTTTTTCTCAGTAGCCCAGGGGCCGATAATGCTGAACAGTAAAGCGCAAAAAAGACCGAGAGAGATCACTAGAAAAATCCACATCAATATAAATCTCTTTTGACACTTTTAACTTTGGAATCTTCAACAATACTGTAGAATCCATTTTGAATGTTTTGTTTTTTGGAAAATCCCTCCATGTTTACATATTTTTGTTATGACATGACGGACTTTTTCTGTTGACATTTTTGGTATTTTATTTGATTCCAATTTGAGATTTTATCATTGTATATTGTTATTATTTCTATATTTTGTACTTATATTGAAGTTTTTGTGTTTGCTTCTGATCTGTATATATGTTGTTTAAATTTGATCTTTAATATGGCTACAGCCATATTTGGATTGATACGGTAGCTGTTGGACTTAACGTCACTTATTTATCTTTGTTTCGGATACTCTTCGGAGTAATTGTAACCTGGAAGGTGCATTAATTCCAGGTACTGCTTTGTATTTCCATCTTTTTATTAATAAAGACCGTTTTCTCCTAGAATTTTTGCCTTTTCTGGACCTTGAATTGGGATATACGCGTTTGGAGTGCACTTATTGGAACCCATTGGAACTGCCACCGTAGAAATCCATTTACAAATACAAACATCATAGGACTCCAGATGGGTTTTTAAGACCTGCAGATACTTCAGGCGAAAGTTAACATCATGAAACTCAGAAATATTAAGTGTGAAACCATTAACGATAGATCATCGTTCAATCACTTATGACAAATTTTTCGTATACCGGGGATGTGAAGCCGCAGAAATAGGTATACACACAGCGAGATAATCTTCATACTTTGAATTGTTTCAATGGCAGAACAAACATCATTCGGGAAAGAAAGAGGGAACGAATAGCTCCCTGCGTGTCGCACCTTGACTTAGTAAAGTCTCTGAATATTGCTATAAAATTTATTGAGAATAATGATATTATATTTATTCTCATATAACAGTGTGATGGGGGAGGTGTAGCGGAACACTTATACTAAGGAAACGCAAATGATCAAAATAAAACATTTATTACTGTATGTAGAATCTATTTTGAAGGCTTTGTTTTTGGAAAATCCATCCATGTATATATATTGGTGTTATGATCTGACTGACTCTTTCTGTTCGATATTTTGGTACTTTATTTGATCCCATTTTGGGATTTTGTCATTTGTATCTTGTGGTTATTTCTATATCTTGTACGTGTATTGAAATTTCTGTTTCCTTCTGAACTATATATGTGTTATGTAAGATTGATACTTAATATGGCTTCAGCCATTTTTGGATTTGATACTCTATCAGCAGCTAGCTGAGACTGACTGGAAGCACTTACTTTTCGGGTAACGGAACCTATTGTGCCTATTAGGAACTCACCAACACTAACATGTCTTAGTGTTTCCTGGAACAAAACTCATTCAGACTTGTGGACACACGAAACCTGATGTCCGTCGGTTGATCAACAAATAATCTATTTATCTCACAAACATTTAGCTGGGTATCGTTATTGTAGAGATGGCATGACAAACTTATTTTGTAAACAGTTTTTGATACTATCTGTATTTATTTTGTTAATTTTTACTGCTTGTACATTCACTATGAAATTGTTGTACTTTTTGTTTATCTGTGTGACCTTGAATACCACAGGCGCACTTATCCCTCGCTGCTTTCATTTTCCGTTCACTGTACACTAGCACGGCACTCGCTGCTATACATTATCAAATACACTTTATACATACCATTACTATTCTCATCTGCTTATTGAACATTATTCATAACAATTAATACGTATGTTATCTACTTTATAGACTGCAGTCACATACACATACTGACCTTTGGAATATCATAGCAAAGGGAATATTAAATATATAAAGATTGTGGTAAAATACGGCCAGATCAAATCGAACACGCACAAGTAGCTGCATGAAGTAACGTTCTTATATTTTTATTGTATTTATCGCATTTAACTGATATATTTCAACATACATTTATTGATATTCGATAACCTTGTTAATATTTTGAAATAATGTATTGATTGGTCCACCACATTATCAATGGGATTTCCACCTGTAAACTATCTAAATAGCTTTTACATAATTGAAGAGTTTTTACTAGATAGGGGATTCTGAGTAAATAGTGAATTCAGACGTTCAATTTGTTGGCATTGGCTCTTAGACTTGAACAGAGTTTTCTTCTCGTACATTATATCTTTTCCTCCCGTCTTAGTGGTGGGATGTGAGTCAATCAAATATCAGAAAAATAGTTTCAGTAGGCCAACAGCTATCAAATACCGGGCACCGTATCGAAAGAACAAGAATTGAGTGCCGAAAAATCAATTGCTTATACCAGCCTGTGAAAAAGAAATTGGATAATGCATAGGTTACAGCATCATCAGTATATTCCAACGAGTCATTCGTAAATAAATCCGTCTGTTCTACTAAATGTATTCAGATCCCAGATATTTTCTTCTGGGAAATTTCCGAATTCCACTTTATTTGTCTGTTGTTAGAGTGTCTTTCCAATTTTTCCATATTATAGTGATTGAAACTAAGTGTTGGCAAACTTTTATGAATAACATATCTCCCCATGTCAGTAATTAAGACTAGGCCTAAATGCGCATCTGAAAGAAAGGAAAAACCATATTTTTGTGACCTAGAATTGAAAGAAAGTTAGTCGCATGTATTAAAATCACCATATATAATCAAAAATAAACCATTGAAGTTAGTAACAATATGTAAGGTGAATTCGTCACCGAAAACAGACAGTGAAAATGAGATATAATTTGGAGTCACATAAGCGTTAGTAATATAGATATATTTGAAAATGTTCAAATGTTTTGGATGACATCGTAGAGTCAGCAACAGATTAAAAGCAGTATTTGAGTCCATCTGTGGTGCGCTCTACTTATCAGTAGTATGTGACGTTAGTAAAAACGTAATGTCTGGCAGCAGAACATGGGGGAAGATCAAGAAAGGAAGAGCGGGAACACAATGGAATTTGTATGAAACGCATGAATAGTGACAATGGATTGATGTTTTGCAACAGGAACAATCCAGTTCGATATGGTGGATTGATATTTTGCAAATTAAGGACTTACGATATGGCTTCTCTATTTTTCCAACTAACTCAGTAATTCGAGGTAAATACAATTTGGTTGCCCGCACCTGTGTTCTCCTTCACTGCATATCCTGAACTCAAAAGTTAGCGAGTGGAAGTTAAGCTTGGAAATTTACATGAAATATTTCACATGTACTGTGAGATGTAAAGTATCGTACCGAGATAAACTACTTTTCCTATCCATATGTTAAAAATGATTTTTTGCCTTGTATGACTAGCCAAAAATCAGTCCTAGTCTACGTAGATGTAATATCTGAGGTTTTATCAACCATGCGAGGTAAACATACATGAAATATGACTGCGGGTTCGCAAACTGCACCGAGCGAAATATAATCTAAATAATATTAAAACACCCCTGAAGCACAGAATGAGCAGCGTTTAGAGAAGATTAACCAATCGTTATATGTCAGTCGATAAATTAAATCCTCGAGAGAGTTTGTGGTGAATGATGGCAAACGGATTCTGTAGCGGTCAGTACTCGATATTTTCCAAAACTCTGTATATTGCTCGTCCTGATAACCGTTACTGGATAAAACCCACCGGTGTATAATCCAGAAGACAAACACAAAGCGTTGACTATGTTTATTATCACACCACACGCATCACGCAACCACAGGAAAATGAATCAAAATGATGTGCGAGTGCCGAATAATAGGAAGTGAGTGTGTGAACAGAATTAAAATGTGCATTTATATTCATGGGGAAATGAATGGGTTATAGCATTATTTAAGTGACCGACATTGAAGCGAGTAGAATTAGTATGCACATAGGTGGTAAGCAATACTCAAGCCTGAATGCTCATACAATCACAACAATAATAAAGGTACAATGGTACTGATAATTTGCTGCTATAAGAATGACTGTCTATTGAATAAAAGGGCATAACCAAATTGACTGTGGACGTACTCATACATATTTTATTAGCTATGACTTGAAGATATAAACTTCCAACTTAAATGTTTACCGTTTTTCCCATTTGTCACTTTCACTGCCAATGGGACATGGTGTTGACAATAGTCTGGATAGGGCTGAATCGAAAAGTACAGAACTTAAAGTGCGTTGTTTGAAAAAAAGAGTAGCGTGCGTAAGATTTGGGAAATCTAACTGTATGCGGAAGACCTAAATAAGCAGCTTCTTTAGTAGTTGCTTGCCATTTTCCTTTATTATCATTTATAGGTCTGATTAAAAATATATACACTGAACATATCACGCCACTTGAAGCGATCAGTCTTAACTCTCGGGTTTATCTACTCAAAAAGAAGGTTAAAGTTGGAACATCAGAGACACTAGAAGTTTATCAATAAGCTAGATGTATTTGTAAAATGTCAATTTCAAATTTTTGACAGTAGTTACAGTAATTGATGCTTATGACCCCATTGTAGTGAGTTGGTATAAATAAACACCTTCGCGGGATTACTAAGTTGAATCCCGATAAGTCCAGAGGCCAAAGAAAAGACTGTCCTGGAAGAAGAAGCATGTTTATCGCTGGCCTTGTGATATCGAAATAATATCGAGACCAGAATATAGGAGCGGCTAACAACCACCGAGGAGAGAAACGGAATGGGAATGACACGCTTGTCACGTGAGAGATAGTCTTTAGTACAGCTAAACTAAAGGAGTACAATAGAACAATTATTGTTAGAATGAAATACAGTGATAAATGTTTCCATTTCAGTAACTGAGTTATCTTCGTCAAAGTATACTGCTGCACTGTAATGATCCTCTGCATTTTTTAAGGCATATGCATACAGAGACCAGATCTCATTCTACTGTCAAACTAGGATGCAGCGAATTAAGATATGCATAAAATTTGGAAATGACTTTTGATCCAATACATATACCTAGTCTGATCTGAATAAATCAGTAAATCTTACATTTTACAGAAAAGTCACTCTGAGGAATAAACACGAAATACATCTTTTTTAGTCTCATATTTACCACTTTTAACACTGAAAGTGTTCTTACTTTGAACACAATGACTTACGAATAAACTAAGATCATAACGAAAGAGTACAGAAACTTTCCTTCTCTGCCCTCTTCCAAGTTGCTTCAGAATCAGGCTTCAATCATTCATTTACCTACGATTTGATCATCACCAACTGGAAATAACCAAATACGTGAAACAGAGTCGAAACAACGGGATGTGAGCATAAACAAGTCAAAATGTTAATATTTGCAAATGATAAAAATAAACCGTACGACGATAGACTCCAGCTCTTGGGATTATTCCCACTGAGCTACAGGAGAATCAGAGGTGACCTGATTATGGCGTACACCATATTAAACACGCCAAACCATCCCAATGTGAGCATCTTACCGATGCATCACCACCACTCCCCTCGAGGCAATCCTCAAAAGATTGCACATCAAACAGCAAACACTCAGATTCGTGCACACTTTTTCTCATTGCGAGTGGTCGCAACTTGGAATGCTCTCCCAGCCGAGGTAGTTACAGCCCCCTCAGTGGACTGCTTTAAGAAGAGACTTGATAATCACGTACTCACATGCGGACTATCATCTCCCTCTTGAACAAGCTGTCCCTGATGCATATCTTGAGACCTGCTAGTTGTTACCATTGCCATCTCCTCAGATCACTCAATTAATCTATCTCGCCTATTCCTCTCCCTTGCTTACACTTCGTTCCTCTCTCACAATCTTCACTACCAATTATTAAACTAAATTCATCCATATATTACTCAGTTCTGAAATTTTATTCATATTATCATTTTAATTTACCCTTATTACCCTTATTACTCTCCACATTGCAACTGACTGATCTCCGGTTTGGTAATGTGACGGCTGCTAGTATCCGGAAACCCTACTGCCCTGAAACAAACGTTTCATTCAAATCCCGAGACATACAAACTCACAACCAACTGCCAACTGACCAGAATTAGACAGTCGAGTGGCTAGACCTCCATCGATTGGACATTACCGAACACCTGGAACCGTACCGAAAGAACAAGAATCGAGCGCGAAGAAATCAAATTGGTTTACACTAGCTCGTGAAAAAGATATTGGATATTGAAAAACATTGGATGTTGTATCGGCAATGCACACTGGTGGTTGGTTTGAACATCATTGTAACGGTTGGTCGTTTACCTTGTTTTTTTCATAGTAAGATAACCAGTCGCTGGTAAGAGCTTGAAGTAGTGTTTATGCGTCACTAAAGTTATGCATCATAATGAATAGATTGCAAAAAATCGTTAAGTCAATCATAATTGGTAAAATAGCCAGTTGCTCACGTACTAGCTTTCTAGTTTTGTCTTGTAAACACTGTTGTGGCTTGACATATTTACGCATAAGAAATCCCGTGTAAAGTAACCCATTGGATTTTCAAATGGTAAGCGTTATCGCCACTCCGTTTCAAAAGACGTAACATTAGCCTGAAGAATGAAAAATCGTTACGTAAGGGGCTTTCTCTACCGAAGTATATGAGCTATAAAATTTCTAAGTTAGCGTCAAAGGGAATCATACGTTTACTAAGCCTTCGTTGATTCCCTTTTCGGAAAAATCGCCATCTCCTTTATCTTAGGACTCCTGGTCGCATTTGAATGACACTAACTGGACGGATTTGCAATACATTCAGATAAATAGTAAATCTACTTCTACGCTTATTGTAGACAGAGAATTCGAAATCGGATCTACTGTGATAAATGTCAAGGAACACCAAACTATTTCATTTATTTGTGTATTGACCTTATTTTAACCCATTATAAGTTTCTAATTGTCAACTAAAGTTGTCTCACAAATACTAACTAGAAAGACCACAATTTTTTATCACGTCTCGATTAATAATCAGTCTTCATACGTTAGTCCCGTTGAAAAAAATATATTTTGAACGCCTCAGGATACGTTTCTGAATTTGTGTGACTAGGGGATTGGTTACTTACCTACTGGTTTCTATACCTTTTCTAACTTAGTACTTTGCCAGCCAGTATTTTGCGCCATAGATTTATATAATATGCACCCAGGCGGCCTCAATCTGATTTCCATTTCTGTATGGTACTCTACATCTAAACTCAACCATATTCACACTGTGGTCCCAGCATACACGAGTGATATATAACTTTGTTCACTTCGCTTTACTTATGTAGAGTGATGTACAGTGGACTACCTTACACTATACCCTCCCCTTAGTTGGAAGGGAGTCAACAGGTGTATTTTAATTCGGATGGCTTCTTTGTGCTCATGTGAAGTTCTTCAACCACCAGCATTGATGACTGATCATAACCCTGGTAGTTAACGAAATTCGAGGTGAATACGTGGAGTCCGTTTGGCATGTAGTGGTCTATTAAATGCTGTTACTACCTTCACTATTATGAAATCGCGCTGGCAAATTCACCTCACCGGGCTAATAGGGTATCGAAACTTGAGCCAATGTACATATTTGCCAAGCTTTACGTTGCGCCGGACTGACTATAATGGGGAATACTCTCAACAACTTCGTTCCATGCAGTTAGATCAGCTATTCAAGCGTACAAGCATCAGACACAAGGTCCTATCTCTTTGCTTAAACGACGTATCTGGTGGGTCATCACAAAATATTTCCAAAACATATAAATTGACTTGGGAAGGGATACTTTTTGCTTCAGGTAGTCATTGTTTACGCTAAATGATATTGATGTATTCGATAAATACCAGTTCTGAGCAATAGTATTTACCTTTATTGTTATTATCGAATAACATAACCATTGGAGACACTTGAAACCTACTTGACTAAGAAGAGTATGTTTTTACACCGTTTCCTGCCCCATCGATATACCTTTTATTACCAGAAGGTATTTTCTCAGTCAGTTACAACGCAGAACTTCGTACATGAGTACATAAGTTCAGGTTGCCATACCGCATCAGCACAGGGACGCAACTGTCAGTTCAAATCCCTTATTGGTACAGGTAGTAAAAGTATTAGCAGTAATGAAGATTAGGGTTTGAAGATATGGTTCGAGAAGTTTAATTCAGTGAGATAACTTTAGAAAGAGAAATGGAAAGGTGATGAGGGATTCAGAAGGTTAGAATTTAAGAAAAGACAATTGGTGGATTCACATGCGCTTTCGCAAACGATTTCGAGCCGTGTCGTTCAAGGTCTCTAATCATTGGTGACTTACGTCTCGCAGACCCCAACCAGGTAGGGCGGTGGTCCAGTTTTAACAGTTAGATTGACTGCGATCTTAGGTAGAATCTGGGCGTAATCCCATATGACCGGTCTCAATCACTGGTTGTCCCATTCTGTAAGAAAGGACAAAAGTCCTCTTGTGACAACCACAGAGGAATAAGTCTAACTAATATAGTATCTAAGATACTGGCTGCAATAGTACTACGACGCTTAACGGAAGCTCGTGAAGAGCAGACTAGAGAAAAACAGGCTGACCTAGACGTGGATGTACAGGTCAAATGTTCACACTACGTCAGGTCCTAGAAAAAATACACTCTTTCAGACCCCCTTTACTTGCTTACTTACGCCTGTTACCCCCAATCTAGCATAGGCCGCCAACTAGTTTTCTCCAACCAACTCTGTCCTGGGCTTCCCTTTCTAGTTCTTTCCAATTTTTCATTCTTCTCATGTCTTTCTCTATTTCCCAGCGTAATGTGTTCCTTGGCCTTCTTTTTCTTTTACCTTGAGGGTTCCATGTGAGGGCTTGTCTTGTGACGCAGTTAGGTGCTTTTCGTAGTGTATGTCCTATCCACTTCCACCGCTTCTTCCTGATTTCCTCCTCCGATGGAATCTGGTTTGTTCTCTCCTAAAGTAAGTTGTTGCTGATAGTGTCTGGCCAACGAATCCGAAGTATTATGCGAAGACAACTGTTTATAAATACTTGTATCTTCTGGATGATGGCTTTGGAAGTTCCCCAAGTTTCCGCTCCATACAGTAGAAATGTCCTGACATTCGCATTGAAAATCCTTATTTTGGTTTTGGTTGAAAGTTGTTTGGATTTCCAGATATTTTTCAACTGTAGAAATGCAGCCCTCGCTTTGCCAATCCGTGCCCTCACATCTGCATCAGATCCACCTTGGTTGTCGATGATGCTGCCCAGATATGTAAAGGTGTTAACGTCTTCCAAGGCATCCCCATCAAGAGTGATTTGATTGGTGCATGTTGTGTTGTATCGTAGAATCTTACTTTTTCCTTTATGTATGTTGAGACCTACTGCTGTTGAGGCTGTTGCTACACTGGCTGTCTTCTCTTGCATTTGTTGTTGCGCGTGAGATAGAAGAACCAGGTTATCTGCGAAGTCCAGATCGTCCATCTGAGTCCAAGCTGTCCATTGAATACCGTGCTTCCCTCCAGACGTCGACGTCTTCATAATCCAGTCGATGACCAGGAGAAAGAGAAAGGGTGAGAGTAAGCAACCTTGCCTGACACCGGTCTTCACCTCAAACGAGTTTGTCAGCTGACCTCCGTGCACGATTTTGCATTTGAATCCATCGTAAGAATTCCGTATGATGTTGACTGTCTTCTCAGGCACTTCGTAGTGTCGAAGAAGCCTCCATAGTCTTTTCCTGTCCTCGACATCGAATGCTTTCTCGTATTCGATGAAGTTGATGTAGAGTGGTGAGTTCCATTCAATTGATTGTTCCACAATGATCCGTAATGTAGCAATTTGGTCAGTACACGATCGATCCTTACGAAATCCGGCCTGTTGGTCTCAAAGTTGGGTGTCTACGAAGTCCTTCATTCTGTTTAACAATACCCATCGGAAGACTTTGCATATTATTGAGAGAAGAGTGATGCCTGTGTAGTTCTCACACTTACTGAGATCGCCTTTCTTTGGTATTTTGATGAGGTATCCATCTTTCCAATCTGATGGTACTTGTTCCTCATCCCAAATCTTCTTGAAGAGAATGTGAAGTATTTTTGCAGTTGCTTCCACGTCTGCTTTCATTGCCTCTGCTGGAATATTATCTGGTCCTGCTGATTTGCCGCTCTTGGATTGTCTGATGGCCATACTGATCTCTTCAATTATAGCTGCGCCAACATCGATTGGGAGGTCAGTAGATGCTGCTTCAGACGAGCTGGTCGATTTAGGAGTTCCTTAAAGTGCTCTACCCACCTATTTCGCTGTTGTTCAGTGTTGCTGATTTCTTTCCCTTCCTTGCTTTTCACTGGTCGTTCTGGTTTACGATAGTTTCCGGCCAGCTTCTTTGTTGTTTCGTACAATAGTCTCAAGTTTTCGTCTCTTGCAGCCTTTTCCGCCGTCATTGCTAGATCTTCCACATATTTTCGTTTGTCAGCTTTGATGCTCTTCTTGACTTCCCTGTTTGCTTCTGTGTATGCAGCTTGTGCGGTAACTTTCTCTGCTCTTGTTCGGCTGACATTGATTGCTGCCTTCTTGTTCCTCCAATTTTTGCAAGAGTATCAACAGAGATCCATTCCTTGTGATGGTACTTCTTGTGACCCAGAACTTCGTGACATGTTGAAGTGATTGCCTCCTTAACCCCTTTCCAATTGTTCTCCAACGTTGCTTCCTCTCCATTGTGTAGATCCTGAAAGGCCTGGAACCTATTGGTGAGGGCTATCCTGAATTCATTGAGCTTTACAGTATCCCGAAGAAGGGCCGTATTAAACTTGTGCGATGTTTTCTGCCGCGTTGTCCAGTGCTTCTTTAGTTTCAGTTTCAGTTTCATTTTGGCGATTAGCAAATGGTGATCGGAGGCTATATCAGCTCCTCTCCTGGTTCTCACATCCTCCATAGTCCTTCTGAACGTTTTGTTGATACAGATATGATCAATCTGGTTTTGAGTAGTGTGATCCGGTGAAATCCATGTAGCTTTGTGTATGCGTTTGTGCGGGAATATTGTGCCACCGATGACCAGTTTGTTGAAGGCACATAGGTTTGCAAATCTCTCACCATGGATGCCGCTTCGATGTTGGGTGTGTTCAGTGGAGCTGTTCGATTCAATAGTTCCTTAAAGTGCTCTACCCACCTATTTCGCTGTTGTTCAGTGTTGCTGATTACTTTGCCTTCCTTGCTTTTCACTGGTCGTTCCGGTTTACGACGGTTTCCAGCGAGCTTCTTTGTTGTTTGGTACAATTGCCTCAAGTTTCCGTCTCTTGCAGCTTTTTCCACCGTCATTCCTAGATCATCCACATATTTTCGTTTGTCAGTTCTGATGCTCCTCTTCACTTCCCTGTTTGCTTCTGTGTATTCAGCTTGTGCCTTAACTTTCTCTACTCTTGTTCGGCTGGCATTGATTGCTGCCTACTCGTTCCTCCTTTCTTCAATTTTTGAAAGAGTATCAACAGAGATCCATTCCTTGTGATGGTGCTTCTTGTGATCCAGAACCTCCTGACATGTTGAAGTGATTACTTCCTTGATCCAATTCCAACTGCTCTTCAAGTTTGTTTCCTCTCCATTGAGTAGATCCAGCAAGGCCTGGAACTCATTGCTGAGTTGTTGAGTTTTACGGTATTCCGAAGAAAGGGCGTATTAGACTTCTGTGATGTTGTCTGCTCCGTTATCCAGTGCTTCTTTAGTTTCAGTTTTATTTTAGCGACCAGTAAGTGGTGATCTGAGGCTATGTCAGCTTCTCTCTTGGTTCTCAAATCCTCTATAGTCCTTCTGAACTTCCTGTTAATTCAGATATGGTCGATTTGGTTCTGAGTAGTGTGATCCGGTGAAATCCACGTAGCTTTGTGTATGCGTTTGTGTGGGAATATTGTGCCGCCGACGACCAGTTTGTTGAAGGCACATAGGTTTGCAAATCTCACCATTTTCCTTCCTATCTCCCAGTCCATGTCGTCCTATGATGTCTTCATATCCAGTATTGTCCATGCCAAGCTTGGCATTTAGGTCTCCCATTAGAACCGTCATATCCTTTGGTAAGCATCTGTCGACGATTAAGTGCAGCCTTTCGTAGAATTGATCTGTATCGTCGCCATTGTAGTCGTTGGTCGGTGCATAGCATTGTATGACGTTCATTGTAATGTCCTCTTTCTTTGTTTTGAGGGATGCTTTGATGATCCTGGGTCCATGAGATTCCCATCCTATCAGTGCCTTTTGTGCTTATTTGGACAGCATCAATGCAACTCCTTGTGTGTGTGAGTCATTTTCTTCTTCATGACCAGAGTATAACAGCAGTTCCCTTGCAGCTAGTCTCAGTTGTCCTTCCTGTGTCCAATGCGTTTCACTGATGCCGAGCACCTCGAGGTTGTATCTTCTCATTCCTTCAGCAACTTGAAATAGTCTTCCAGTCTCTTACAATGTTCGAACGTTCCATGTACCTAAAAGAATGATTGCTCTGTTTTTCAGAAGAGGCATTGGCCTCGTGACTTCCGAGGAAACTCGGCTTTCATCACACGACGTCATAATTCTTCTTCCAACTCCCAGGGCAGAGTTCAATTGGTTTGAATTATTTTTTCTGGTTAGCCTTTTGTTTAGCAAGTTAGTTTTTTGGTGGGATGTGGCGTCAACCCCATGCCCAACCCCCTCCTCCTTTATCCGGGCTTGGGACTGACAGTAGCCCCGAAGGTTCTACTGGCGGAGTTGTTCAGACGCCCCAAATTAGTAGTATTTTTCGACCTTAAAGCGGTATTTTTATAAGTTAATTAGTAGTATAATACCAAATCAGTTCTTGTCAATTAGCAGATTTAATTCTTAGTTTCGTTATCTGAATGCTTTGACCGCTAAAAAATTTACATTTGTGAATAACATTTGAATACTTAGCTCAACTTAATACTCTGCTTTTCGATTTTACAGATGCCGCCTGTTGAAGAACAACAGGCTGATAAACCTATTCAACCTAAAATTGGTATAATATATCCTCCACCTGAGGTGAGGAATATCGTCGACAAAACAGCTAGTTTCGTAGCTCGTAATGGTCCAGACTTTGAATCACGTATTCGTCAAAATGAAATCAGTAATCCGAAGTTCAATTTTCTGAACCCTGCTGATCCATACCATGCTTATTATCAACACAAGGTTCGAGAGTTTGCTGAAGGTAGGACACCAGAACCTGCTGCTATAAAATTAACCATTCCTAGTGCTGCTCGCCTTGCTCAGGATACTCCGAAGTCGATTCAAGAAACATTCACACCCAAAGACCCACCAGCTGAATTTGAATTTGTTTACGATCCACCATCTATTAATGCAGTTGATATTGACATAATAAAGCTTACAGCACAATTTGTTGCAAGAAACGGTCGACAATTCTTAACTCAGTTAATGAACCGAGAACAGAGGAACTATCAGTTTGACTTCCTCCGTGCTCAGCACAGTATGTTTGGTTATTTTACAAAGCTCGTGGAACAGTACACCAAAATTTTAATACCACCCAAAGATGTCATTTCGAAATTGGAAGACGAGTTAGAAAAACCGAAACAGCTACTTGATGATGTAAAGTATAGGGTTGAATGGCATAAGTATCAAGAACGTCAGCGTAAGCGTGAAGAGGAAGCTGCAGAACGTGAACGTGTGGCCTATGCAATGATTGATTGGCATGATTTCGTCGTGGTTGAAACTGTCGACTTTCAAGCAAACGAAACAGGCAATTTCCCTCTACCGACTACTCCTGATGAAGTTGGGGCACGCTTACTAGCTGAAGAGCGTGGTCTCCAACCTCCTTCAAAGCCGTCAGCGCCCCCACCTCCTGGTTCACTTGGATTAATGCCAACTGATATAGACGAAGATGATACAAGTGATCAGGAATTTGATGAGTCGGATAATGAGAATGAAGCTTCTGGGCTTTCCCAACCTAAAGATCAGGGCCTTATCAACCATAGCCCTCCACCTTATCGTACTGAAACAGAAAATATGGGTGCTGATGATATTCCCACTCCACCTGCTGCTAATGTGACTGATATAGCTGGAGAAGATGATATGGAGTTATCAGATGACGAGAATATTACCGAAGAACCGGTTCAGCAAACCAAAGTACCAGCAAAACAGGTACCATTGTCTTCTGATCAAGTGATTATTCGTCATGACTATGATCCAAAAGCTACAAATATTAGGCGAGCAGAGGACTCTGTGCTCTTAGTATCACCTTTCACTGGAGAAAAGATTCCTGCCAACCAAGCTCCAAAACATATTAAGGTTGGACTACTTGATCCTAAGTGGGTTGAACAGCGTGATCGAGAGATTCGCGAGAAACGTGAGCAAGAACAAGTTTATGCTGCAGGAAATCTGATTGATAGTAGCTTAAAACAGCTTGCTGAGCGTCGTACAGACATTTTCGGTGTAGGAGTTGATGAAATTCAAATTGGGAAAAAACTGGGTGAACAAGAAATAGTAAAATCTGATAAGCTTATTTGGGATGGTTACTCTGCTACTACAGATGTTGTTACCAAAAGAAATTTGGAAGCGGTTACTGTCAAAGATAAGATGGATTTATTAGAGTTTCAACAGAAATTAGATTCTGCTCGAGACAAAATCGGTCCTCAAAGTGGGGTGCCCCCTGCACCAAGTATTATACCTCCGGTACTCCATAAACCAACAATATTGTTGCCACCGCCGTCAATGCAAACTGGAGTTACACAGCCTCCACCTCCCCCACCTCCTCCTGGTCTTGTAATGCTTTCCAGTGCACCACCGCCATTACCGCCGGGTCTGTTTCCACCCGGAATGCCTCCTCCTCCACCCGGTATAACTATACCTGGTTTCATGCCTCCACATCCACCCATCCCACCACCACCACCAATTCTCCCCCCAACACCTGCTAATGATGGGGAGCCGGAAGCAAAAAGACCAAGAGAATAGTTGGTTACTGTTGGTCGATAAGTGTACTTTATCCCACGCTTTTGTATCAACTAATCATTCTCTCAAATATATGTTCCTATGTTTCAATGGTTTTATTTGTAGAATTTATTAGTATTTTTCAGCATAGTCTTTGATATTCATTTACCCGTTTCTATATTCTGTATGTACTGTAAACGACTCATAGTAACAGATCCACAATGATACATAATTTCGGGTATATTCTTACGGTTAAAGATATTTGATGTAATGATATTAGAACGTTTTATTTAACTGAATAATAATTCAGTAAACACTTATTTTAGGTTTTGATAAATAGTTTAAAAAAATTTCAATTCTAAAATACGCTCATTGTTCTCCGAGTTTTGGCAATTGTATGGTATTATTTGAAGAACAAGATAAGTAAATGTAAATGATTAATCTCACTTAACGGCTGTTAGTAATTGCGCAACTTATTTATGTAGTATCTCTATAGTCTCTATTGAACTTGTGATTTTGTATGTATGCTGAATGAAATCATGTCAGTTGCCTCCACAGTTAAGATTCAACTGTGTTGTTTGCCTGCTTTGTTTCTTAGAAACATGCGATGTGTTCACTGAATATAGTACTTAGCCATACGATAACCAAGTCTAATATATTCTAATTTTGACAATGTGGATAACTTTGAAGGAAGAGATTTCTACAAATGGGGATTAGACAAGTTATTGTTGATGAATTTTCAGGACTGCTGATCACTCGATACATTTAAGTGGTGGTAATTACTTGTTTCTGGTAAGTGTGATAATTAAACATACTAAATGGCTATCAACTTTTCACATTTGAAAATACGTCGAATTACTGTTCATTGCAATTAGAAAATATAAATGAGTGATTGTTACATCGTTATAATTTGCTGTCTAATCATTGTGTTCATGTTTATTCAGTTGTATTTTCAATTAGAGTTATGGAGATTAGTGTTTTTACACATTTGAAATCAATCAATCCCTAGATCAATCAGAGTTAGACATTAACACCGTTGGACGCGGGCCCAGTGATCCAGAGGTTAGGCGTTCGCGCACAATACCGAAGGTCCCGGGTTCGAATCCTGCGAGATGCAGGAGTCGTGGATGCGCACTGCTGATGAGTCCCATACCGGGCTATTCAGTTGTAGTCTGGCTCTATACGTATTTCTATTGAGATAATTAACAAGACAGTTACTGACAAATGAAAATGAAAAATATTTAGTTCATCCATTTGCTGTGTCCTGAACAAATTAATCCAGTAACATTTAGTGCCATTAGATTTTACCTTATGAGTTCTGTCACCTGTATCCCGTAGCCTTCAATACTGCTCGCCATGTTCTGTGTCTACATTACTTAACCGAAACATTTAAAGTCACGATAATCGGTTAGTACACAGCTCATACTTAATAAACCTGAACTTCCTAAATATTAGGATGATTCATTGAACCTTTACAAGCTAGGACAACTGAAATTAATGTTGCTTTATGATCAATTATTATCTACTTGTGCACGAAATTTTGTTTTAAATAAGAGTGAGGTTATAACTATGGTCGGGTATTGAACTCATGTCCACCTTTTGTTGTCTGTTAATAAATCGCGAATTATGAGATAGCTGGATTAAGTCACTCACGAATGTGATACTTTTGATAAAAATCTTTTGGGTGTTAGGTTAGGTCGGTTTGGACGGTACAGATGCATACGTTATTTATCCTTCTCTGGCAAATGTATAGATACTTCCCTAAAACATAGTATTATGATGGTACCACTGGTTTCTTAGTCTTATTTTTGCAGGTGATATCATCAATAAGTGTGTTTATTACTAATCATCCTGCATATTATCAACGCGACATATTAATTCTTTTCATTCTGTACTGTTCTATTCCATGTTTTATATTCCCTTTGTTGTTGATTATTTCCATTTTTATTCTCTGCAGTTCAAGCAACCCATTAACCGTTTCATAACATTACTTAGTAATAATTGTGGCAAAAATGAAAAATGTAGATTTAGACGTATGATTTATTGTTTATTATTAAGTAGAATAATAGATAATTGTTTGTATGATATATTTTGTTTAAAAAATGTGTTACAATATAATCCTGGGTTTAGATTTAAAAGTATCAAATTTGTAAGTGACCTGTATATAAAATCAATTTGACAAATAGATTTGAAAGTCAAGCAATTGTCTTGGTAATAATTTTTTAGGCGTTCTTTCAGATTCACTTATCATTGTGTCACTCTTGTATGATTGTAAATGCTTATTATGTATCACTATATATATGTTGATAATCATTAGGTCTCAATTTGATTATCTTGTTTTGCAGTCTCAAAATGATCACTTTCTATGTTCTTGTCTTCATCGATTTTGTCCGTATACTTCTTGTCAATGCCTCTTCTTCGGTTGAAATATCGATCAAGTATATTGTGTCGTTTCTTGAGTGGCCATACATCAGGTGGTCCCATTGAGAAAATTTCACTGATCTGTAACTTGATTATAATTGAAAATTTTAAGAAAAAATTGTTTCATGTTATTTTGTATGCAGTCTACCAAACTAATTATTGAAAGTTGAACTTTTTACAAATTTATCAAGAAAACTAAGTAAATATGTATTAAAATTCATATTTTAGCATTAATGTAACTCAGAAATCAGTTACATGTATATACGTGCATTTCGAATCATATTGTCTGAACACTAGTGATAATATCTTGCTGTTGAGACCAACTTGAGCGTGAAAAACTCTTGAACTTGCTACCGAAGCTTTGAAAGCAAGTCACTTCAACCATAAACATATATATGGATGTCATGTAACAATAACCACCAGAGTGTAGTGGTTGTCATGTAGATTTTAATTGTAGTTTAATAAGTTTAAAAGTTGTGTTTTTTGTTTGTCTAAGCTGAGTTTTTATGGAGTTGTAGATTCTCAGGTTGTTGTCTATCTAGATAGAGAACTTAAAGCTGAAATGGCTAAATAATCAGTTAGAGTCGCATAGGTAGATTTATTCCTTATCTATTTTTTTAGGTATAGAGCTTTGAGAAATAAACCATTATGACTATGTACAGAATCTGAATAAAATGATTTACCTTGATTCTACAACCGTTTTTCATTAGGACAATCAAAAATACTAGCGGAATCATGCTAATTGATATTCCACTCATAGTCCAACCTAGATAAATTGACCATTTTGGATAAATATAAAATTGTGAAGTTCCATGCAGTGTAATATTCACTACTTCGGAATAATTAGTTGATAATTCCGGGTGTTTTGCGCCATAATTATATTGTAATGGTGTAGGATCTGTCAGTGAACTGACTATCATAACCTTGATTGATAAAAAAAAATACAGAGAAATTTTAAATGATCATTGTTTAGGCTGAATAAGTAGGTAATATTGTCTTACTGTTAAGTAGCATATTCATTTCTTGTTAATCATAAAACAAGATTCCTTAAAGCTTTCAGGTACGCCTTGTTAGCATGAAACCCAAGTTAAAATTTTTCTTTTGAATACCTCCGACCCACTTCGCGATATGCAGTTCATTATGTTGATGTCATTTTGCTCTGTTTATTGAAAACTAATATCACTCAGTTATAAACATATATAGCGTTCTTTTTTTTCACATTTTGTTAAGAACAGCTGAAGTTATTTAGTTTTATTGTTGTTGTTGCTACATAGTAGTTTTTTTTTTGAAGAATGACTTTGATGATATTTTTTATACTAATTTCTCATTTTGACAATAATGTCTGCAGTCATCTGACTGAATTTTGCCAACTTTTAGCTTGATAGTTTTGTTGTTGTTTCATTTCTGACTGTTGTTCTGAAGGTTCTGTTTACTCTATCCTCATACTAGTGTGTGGATTATTAACGATGAAGTGTTTTGTGTTATTTATTGTCCATACGGAACACTTTTATACTAAAATAAAGTATAATCATCCTGTAATTAACCATTGCTGTAGGCTTGTAGTAAGCTTCTTCCTTAGTTTCTACACTAAATTGCTTTTTATAACATGAAATAATAGAATACAACTTGCACTGTAATTTGATTATCAAAATAACAATAACCCATAGAAACGATGCTTACAATCAAAGTGATAGGTGTTAACAGCTTCCAACACAGTCGCCAGTATATATTAGGTGTAGGAAGATTCATTGATATGATATCTTGACAAAGCTTATTCATACCTACAACGATAGTAGTGAATATTGTTTATTGATTGTATTTCGAGATGGTAAGGTTAATTTTAAAAAATACAGTTTGAAAAACATGTTTTAAAGTAAACCTATTTCTTACATTTCAAGAAGAACATTTTATACTTTTTGTTCCAGTGTAGTAGTAATATTTACCAACAGTCTCTATCAATTTCCTTGACTCAATATACTTTTCTATCGTATGATGTATTGAATTTTACGACACCATTTCCATCATAAATTGAATGTAACTAGAAAGTCTTTGAATAACAAAATACGTTTGACGTTTGTTTCCTCTTATTTTCGGACTACTCAATGGGTCACATTTGTGACTAAATCCAAAAACCGAACTTTAGACTATTGTATTGAAGTTCAGTAACCAACAGTTATAATACCAACCAAGATGCTTCAAGTAATGCCTTGTCTCATTCGTGTCATGGCTCAGCTCCATCGTTCACTGTTTGTCGTTGAAACTCCTGAGTCATCTCAAAATTAATTAATATATATATATATATCAGAATATAGATTAATCAATAGAAAAAAGCCTTGTATTATACCATGAATCACGTAAGCATGTACAGTTGATAACTCACCATAAAACCATGCTATGGCAATCACTTGAAATAAGCTACCAATGAGTAATGCGGTACCTGCCATGTATCGATCCATAAGGTTAAAGACGTACATTCCTCCCTTTAAAGTTGAAAATAACAAAATTCTGTCGGGCTTTCATGGTCAGTGGCTAACGAACTGAGATAAGTTATATGATAGAAACAACAAAATATTTATCACTGAGTAGGGTTGACCAATGTCATGTTTGTCTAGATCAATTTAGTACCGATCGAAGTTGATCGATCAATTTGCAATATGATCCATAGTCTGAGTGACTGGGTGTCGTGTCTACTGTGTTGAGATGTCAGATGGTTAGATGCGGGTAGCGTTGGATGCGCCGAAGAGCACTAGTCCCTACAAGAGTACAGGGTTACCTTACTAATGAGCACCACATTGCCGGAAACCTAGGTCTAATGTTTTTGTTGACTGCCTCTAGCTGCACATACGACAGTTCATCTGTATATGCGGAGTAATATAGTAGTGTAATTTGATAATATGAAGTAGCTGATTATGACCAGTAGTTCTGATTAGATTTGAGGACTCATAGTATCTGTGTAAGGATTTTTTAGATTATTATGACTAATACACAGGGGTATACGGTATCCATTAATTACAGACGGTTGGATATCGAGGTAAACGTAAGAATTTAGGCAGGTCGAGAAATAATGAGTTAACTTTGTTATCCCGATTTCGGTCCTCGGTTTGTATATCTTGGGTGTAGATGACAACTTGTTTTGACTTGTTAGTTATATATCTCAGCGTTAAGATAGTTTTCGACAGGCCAAATAGTTTTCAGTCAGCTTACCCAATTCAGGTAAACGGCTAGTATATAGAATCAAAAAACATTCATACTTCATATCTTAACGAACAGTACGTTAAATGATCTGTAAATACTATTAGTTTGTGTGAATATATTCATGTTACTGAAACGAATCAGTAGCTTGTGTTTAAGCTCTTAATATAGAATTAAAATGCTACCGTAAACGTTACTTTATCCAACAGTTAACGAAAGCTGATTTGAATTTTTGAGTTAAAACATCATTAACTGATATTATCCCGACCGAAGCTGCTACCTTGACGTGGTGGTCGGGCTTGCCTATCGTGATGACCCAACCGAGCTATACTGGCTGGAACACATGTTCCTGCAGGTCCTACCATGCCAGGCAGGTCGATTGCAGAACGATGAGACTAAAAGCAGCTACCCAAGGTCTGAGGGCGAAGTCGTACTGCTGACTGCAGAGGGGTGTGACAGCAGTAAGGTGTTTCCCTCGGACAACCAGCATCTGCAGCGATGCTGCCTTCTCACAAGGAAGGAAGGGTTAGAAAAGGTCGGCCCTAAAAATGTCACACCTCCCCTACCTCACGGATTTCCGTCTCCTCGGGTAAGGGTGCCCACTAAGGGCTTTCAAGAGCGGAGCTCACATTCAAAAAACTTCTCATAAAAAGGCCGTGCGTGATCGGCCTGAAGCAGTTGTCCCTTGGACTCTGCGGTCACGCACCAACACTAATCCATCTTCCTTTTCAGGTTCGTCAAGAAACAACCTTCCACGGTGTGGGCAGCCGGGAAGTGATAACCGCCCTCATACCCGCAACAGCACACGAGACAAAACTGTTCAAAATCAAATCCTTCCTACATTCCCTAATACCTCTCTTATCTCCACAACTAACTCTTCTCACATTCATTTATTACAGTGCACAGCTAATGCAAACGATGCGAGTTTGCGAAACGTCGTTCCTGGTCTCCTTAAACCCCGCTCCAAACTACATGTTGGAGCATTCAATGTACGGACATTGTGTCAAATAGGGCAACAGGCATCATTAGCTAGGACTTTAGAATCTCGTTCCATCGATGTGTGCTGCGTCTCGGAAACGCGCATACAGGATCCCAGTAGCATCACTCATTTGACCTCACCATGTCAAGATGAAGAAGCGGCTCCATTTACTCTGACTGGTGACTTCAATGCACAAGTAGGTAGACTAAGTGAAAATGAAAGACACCTAGGTGGATGTTATGGTGTCGCGGCTCAGAGAACAGACAATGGCGACCGCCTGTTGCAACTGTGCTCAGATAACCAACTATTTCTAGCAAACACTAATTTTAAGCATAAGGAAAAGCATCTTTTGACCTGGCGACCCCCGAAGTCGTCTCAACGTTGGACACAACTAGATCATATCGCCTCTTGTGACAATCACAGGGGAATAAGTTTAACTAATGTAGTTTCTAAATTGTTAGCCTCGATTATACTTAGACGTCTAACTAGAGCTCGTGAAGAGCAGACTCGAGAAAACCAGGCTGGTTTTCGACCTGGACGTGGTTGTATAGACCACATCTTCACATTACGACAGGTCCTGGAACACAGACACACATTTAGACGTCCGACAATAGTCGTGTTCCTGGACCTTAAGGCGGCATTCGACTCAGTGGATCGTGAGGTTCTGTGGCAGTGTCTGTCATTGAAAGGTGTACCAAAGAAGTACATTAACCTTATACAAGCACTCTACTCGAACACCACTGGTCGGGTGAGAGCTTATGGCGAACTGTCATCTGAATTCTCCACATCAAGTGGTGTCCGTCAGGGCTGTCCACTCTCTCCATTCTTGTTTAACTTTGTCGTAGACATCCTGTTAGAGTTAACATTAAGCTCGTCAGATTTTTCAGGGGTTGACCTTTTACCAGGAAAGTCGCTTACTGATCTAGAATATGCCGATGACATAGTTCTATTCGGTGAAGACGCTGACAAAATGCAGAGTCTTCTGACTACCATAAGCAACAATGCAAGCATGTTCGGGATGCGGTTTTCTCCCTCGAAATGCAAAATGTTGCTTCAAGACTGGGTTGCTTCGGCACCTGAACTAGTGATAGGGAGTGAAGTAGTCGAGCGTGTTGATCACTTCACTTATCTGGGGAGTCTCATCAGTGCTGACGGTCTGGTGACTGACAAAATCTCAGCACGGATACAGAAAGCTCGATTGGCCTTTGCCAACCTGCGTCACTTATGGCGTAGGCGTGATATCCGTTCGCAAACCAAAGGGCGGGTGTACTGCGCAGCAGTTCGTTCCGTTCTCTTATATGGCTGTGAAACATGGCCGTTAAGAGTAGAAGATGTTCGTAGGTTACTAGTATTTGATCATAGATGTTTAAGAAGCATTGCTCGTATATCGTGGGACAGCCGAGTAAGCAATACTGTCGTTAGGAAACGAGTACTAGGTAAGGATGGCAGATCAATAGATGAAGTGGTGAAACTTCATCAGTTGAGGTGGTTGGGACATGTGTTACGAATGCCTAACCACCGACTGCCTCGACGAGCTATGTTTTGTGGTGTAGGAGTAGGTTGGAAGAAAGTTAGGGGCGGCCAGACCAAAACATGGCAGAAATCCATGAAGTCACTGACAAGTGGACTGAGTCATGTTGGTAGATGTAGACTACCTGGTTGGGGTCCGCGAGACGAAAGTCACCAATGGTTAGAGACCTTGAACGACATGGCTCAAAATCGTTTGCAATGGCGCAGGTGCATCCACTCTTTGAGCTCTCTCAAATCCTAATCTTCTGGATTCGTCAGCATCTCTACCTTTGTCTTTCTAACCTTATCTCACTGAATTATATTTTTTGAATAATATCTTCGAACCCTAGTCTTCTTTATTAACATTAATACCTCTACTATCTTTATCACTATGGGATTTGATTTGACATTGGCGTCTCTGTGCTAATAATGTGGTATGGCAACATGAACTTATGTACATACGTACGAAGTTCTACGTTGCAACTGACTGACTGACTAACTGATATTATGATATAGTATTTACGTATTGATTCACTGTATCAATGAGGTTTAAAAACTAAAACTCAAGGGTTGTTATGACTTGATCAATACTGAAGTCATGAAAATCTCCTATGAAAACATGAGTTTATAGTTAGTGATTAGAGTACATACACTGGTCACATTAACAAAAGCGACTGAACAAGCTGAACCAATTACAGCCAATGTAATGATAGGTCGTAAATGTTTGTAACGTGAATATTTCTTTGGCACAATATCAGTTAATGCAGTGACGGCAGATTCTAATCCACCCATCTACAATGTGAATAGATACAGAAAGCGAAATCAATGAACGACACTTCAGTGATATGATAAAATCAAACAGATAAAAAATTAGACTTATTGACTTCGCATTTTATATACTTAGCATAACGTACAATTCATAGGGCCACTAAAAAGTAGCATAACATTTATGCAATGAAATGGTAGTAGAAGAAGAAGGATGAAAATATCATATCTATGCTGAAAAAAATCGACGAAAATAGTTTAAGATAGAGCTAAGACTTAAATTTGGAGGCGATAAGAGTTGAACCCAGTTTAAGTGTTATGATTACCACCCAAGCTATGATTAAACTAAGTGTGTAGACACAATTCGTTCTCAAGACTCTGATACACTACTTCGTATTTATATTCACTGTACGTGTAAGCAAGCCACATTTTTCAGCTACATATATATAAAACCTATTTTTGGTATGTATAGATAAGAAGTGTGTCAAATGTGTATGTTATTGATAGTAAAAACTGACCTAAGTTCGATATCTGTTGGAAATTAAGAAGGAAGAGCAGGTGTTTCGTTTTAATAATGGATTCTTCAACAATGTACTCCAGAGACCCTCTACCGGGGACCAATCATAGAACTTTCAAGTCTCGTGATGGATGCTTAACCTTTAGACCAAACTCAATCGAGTTTCAGTCCACTTGTAATGCAGTTGGTTAACCATTTATAATCCATGTATTTTTTGGTATGCGTACTAATTTTTTGAACCTACAGGGCTTGTCCTCGCTTCCGGATAGACTAACCAACCTGACAAATACCAGTATTGATTTAGTCATTTCAACAGATTACATGTTTATATTCAAAAGTATTCTAGAATGTTCTTTACTGCTTTAAGAAAATTGTAAGTCATTTAAGGCCAGATAGTTCAGTCACTAAGTATATAAATAAACGTACAATTTATCGCATTGTTTAGAAATTTACTTGTTAACTGTACTTTCTGTGTCATTTTTATCCAAAAATAGATAGACTGAGGTTTAACATATCTGGTTTTTAACTATTGGATTACTGACTAAAAGCTTATTAGCGTATGTTTTGATCTGAGAAATTGAGTTAGCATAGTTTTAAGTGTTTATGTATGTTTTCTCATGTTTGTGGAGTATAGGCATTTTCCAGTGAAGTCTCTTTTAAGCCTTTTTTCACTTCTAACCAAATACTGTTACTTCTTTTCATGTCTATCTCCTATTCTCAATGCAGCGTGTTCCTTGTTCTTCCTCGTCTCCTTCGGCCTTGAGAATTCCAGGTCAGAGCTTGCCTTGTGATGCAGTTGAGTGCTTTATTCGATGTGTTTCCTATCCACTTCCAGTAATTCTTCCTGATTTCTTACGCTGCTAGCATGCGGTTAGTTCTATGCAGCAGTAGGTTGTTGCTGATGGTGCCCGGCCAACGGACCCATGGTATCTAAGTAGAACTTTCTCGATATTCGTATTGAAGATTGTGACTCTAAAGTTGACTGACAGTTGTTTTGGGTTCCAGCTATTATTTGGTTCCAGACATGCTTCGCTTGCTTTGCTATCCGTGTCATTACATCTGCATAGGATCCACCTTGCTCATCAACGATGCCCCTCAGGTATGCAAAGGTTTCTGCATCTATCAAGTTTCTCCGTCAATTTTGATTTGGTTGGTGCATGTTCTGTTGTATCACTGGATCTTGTTTTTTTCCCTTGTGCATGTTGAGACCTACTAGTACAAGGGCTGCTACTACACTGGGCGTCTTCATTTCAGACGAAGCAGCCTTATCTGATACTGGTTTTGACTTGGAAGAATTCCATTAGCTTTATTCAGTGGACGATTTCGCAGTTCAATCCATCGTAAAAATTCTGTATGATAATGACTATCTTCTCAGGCACACTATGGGGTTGGAGAAGCCTCCATAATGTCATCTTGTCGACGGTGCCAAATGCTTTCTTTTAGTCGAGGAGGTCGATGTTTAATGGTGAGTTTCATGTCGTTCATGGTCCTTTTTATTGATGCAGATGTGGTTGATGTGGTTCTGCGTAGTGTAATCTATTGAAACCCATGTGGCTTTTTGTGTGCATTTGTGTGAGAATATGATGATACCTATAACCATTGTTTTGAAGGCGTATAGATTTTCGAATCTCTCGCCATTGCTGTTCCTTTCCGCCAGTCCAAACTGTCCATTACCCAGTGTTGTCTATTCCAACCTGGGCAATTAGGTCTCCCATTAGAATGGTCGAATCATTTGCTGGGCATTTCCCGACGATTGACTGCAGCCCCATATAAGTGATTTTTATCAACTTCATTGTTATCGTTTGTGGGCCTATAGCACTGAATGACATTCATCGTAATTCCCTTTCTCTTCGTTCTAAAGGATAATTTGATGATCTTGGGTGTTTGAGATTCCAATCTTATCACTGCTTTTTGCGCTTTTATAGGCAGCATCAGCACAACCCCTTGTGTATCTGAGGTATTTTCTTTTCCATGACCGGTGTACAACAGCATCTCTCCTAAAGTTAGTCTCTTCTGCCCAGTCTGCGTCCTATGGGTTCCGCTTATTCCAAGAACCTCAGGGTAGTATTTTTTCACTTCGCCGCAACTTGAATAGTCCTGCGTTTTTCCTTCATTTTGTGAACAGTCCATAAACCTATATTAATGGCTGTTGTGATTGTCAGAAGGATCATTGGCCTCATGACGTCCGAAGAAAAACCACTCTCACCACGGGGCGTCATAACCTTCCTAAATGAAGATCCTACAACTGCTGGATCAGAATTCAGATGGTTTGAATTTTTTTGGTTAAAGTTTTTTCAGCAAGTTTGTTTTCTACGGAATAAAGTAACTAACTCCGAATTCAACCCTCTTGGTGGTCGTGTTTCGTTCTTTGAGCTGGTTGTTTTGGTTGTGAAGCTTTGATTGTTCTTCTGAACAACATCATCAGCACAAACTTCAGATAGAACTTCCACAACCAAAACAACCAGCTCAGAGAACGAAACACTACCACATCTCCACCATCTCAACTCCCTTCCTTTATCTAGGCTTTGGACTTGTTGTAACTCTAGGAGATCTGCAGGTGGAATTGAGTTAGCATAATTAGACCCCATTCAAAATAGCTTACTTCGAATTTTGATATATTTTCTTCCAATAAGTAAGTCGTGCTGTCTGAAGTCAATATGTATACCACTGAATTTCTGCTCGGTGGTCTAGAGTTTAAACGGCTCACCCGGAGACCGAAAGTCCTGGGTTCGATCTACTTATGATGGGGCGGGTTGCAGATGTGCACTGGTGAATGATTCCGTTTCTTTCAGTTTTCCAGTACTTGTCAGGCTAAGATCAGTCCGGGATATAAACTAAGAAACGTGAACACCCTTTTCATTGAGCTATTATATTCGCTAGTCTCAAACATACATCACAGAACAAATATATATAGTAAAATATTAGTACATCTTGAAATTTTACAACTCACCCCACTATCTAATCCCAACATGATCAATAACAGAAAGAATATTGTCGCCCATAATGGTGCCAGTGGTAAAGTTCCTATGGCGAATGGATAAACTTGAAATACCAATCCTGGACCTGTTTCACATTACGCAATTAAAAATTAATTTCAATTAAGCTTATTGTAACAGTTACTTTTGTTGTATTGATTAAATAATGTGCTTAATTCGACCAAGCTACATAACACAGTCTTGTTTCTACTTAGCATTATGATAGAATTGTGGATATTGTTGCGTTTAATTAAAATTCAATGATCGGTTGATGATTTCGGTGAATTGTTTCATATAACTTAGAATTATCTTGAGCTGTGGTGCGAGCTACTTATAAGTAGTATATGACGTGAGTGTCAACGTAATGTCTGGCAGCAGAAGATGGAGGAAGATCAAGAAAGGAAGAGTTAGAACACAATGGAATTTGTATGAAACGCATGAATAGTGACAATGGATTGATGTTTTGCAACAGGAACAATTCAGTTCGATATGATGAACTGATATTTTGCAAATTAACGATTTACGATATGGTTTTCCGATTTTACTGAGTAACTCTGTAATTCCCGTTAAATACAATTCGGTTGCCCTCACCTGTGTTCTCCTTCACTACAATACTACTACGTTATTTCATTTTCCTGAAATTAAAAGTTTTACCCGACTGAAATTCTTCGTATTAATGTATTCGATATTTATGGTCAACTCAAAGTACTTTTTGCATTATCTAATGAGATATATATTTTTAAATGTTGCACACTTGAAAATCTCTCTTTGGACTTAGTTCGTATATGAATTAGGTATTTATCTATCGATGGCTATCAGATTTTGAATTTGTGGATTTTTAATTATACGTTCATTTTTGAGAATATAAATTTTGATGTGATATGATCAATAGATCAAACATCTGTTCAAGACAAATTATTCTCGAAATATACTTTAAATGATAGTAATCCATTAGGGAAGAAAAAATACACTGGGGAAATAAGTATACATTTTTTACCTTTTAGAATGGGTTATATCTTGCATATTTATGTCAATCAGTTTCACAAATTGAATTTCATGTGTCTTTATAAAAGCAAAAATCTCAACTAAATGTTGTCTATTCAAATAGGATTTGTTTTCTCATAAAGTCAGCATAATTATCACAATAAAGGCTTGTGAAGTTTGTTGAATGTTATGAAGATCACAAACCGATTTAATTGAAAGAATCATTTCAAACCAGTAAGCAGTGAATAGTGTTCTCATTTTGGTATTTGGTATGCACTGTTGGATAGCCCTATACACCAGAATGAAACAGCCAACCACCACTAATTTCTGGTTTTTAATTTAAGTTTGGTTGGTGATTCCAGCAATATTCTGTTGTGCAATATTAAAACTGCATGGATTCGAGGTGAATGATTAGAATTACCGTTGTTTGTTTTTTATAAAAAAAGTTGTACTCCTGAATGCAGAGGGGTGTGGCAGCAGTAAGGTGTTTCCCTCGGACAACCAGCATCTGCAGCAATGCTGCCTTCTCACAAGCGTTAGAAAATTTCGACCCTAAAAATTTCACACCTCACTCTACCTCATGCATTTCCGTCTCCGGCGGCAAGGATGCCCACTAAGGGCTTTTAAGAGCGGAGCTAATACTCGGAAAACCTCTCATAAAAAGGCCGGGCAGCCGGGAATCGACGACTGCTCTCATACCCCTGACTGACTGTCTGCTTTTATAGTCAAAATTAGCAGAATTTTGATCAAGTCATGGATAATCTTATTTCTTTTGGTTCTATCTGATAATCAGATTTATAAAGGATACTACCACTATTATGAATAATGTAACTATTGTCTACAAAATATCATTCTTACCTTCTCCTGTTACAGTTTGTACTGTAGTATGAGTAAGATGAGCTAAATAGCCAAGATAGGCGAATACAGTAACACCGGCAAATATGCTTGTTAATGCATTCACAAATGATGTAATCAAACAATCTCTGTAAGAGTGAAGAAATATAATCAAATATTTTTTTAATTTCTATGTAGAAATGTTAAAAAAATTGACCGTATTAAAAATTTTTGTGCTTTGAAATGAAAAAAAAGGCGACAAATCAAAAGTATTCTAACTAAATAAAGCACTAAGTTCCTACATGATATCTTAAGTTTTCTAAGGGCTGTTGTAGTTGGCAAACAGTTATGGTTTGTTTCTATTTCGGTTGGAATACAATTTTAATCAATAAAATTATTCGACATTTTCATTATCACGTTCGAACCTACTGTATCGACAATTTGATCAACGGAATTTAATCCATACTAAGGATAAGACAGTATGAATTCCGTTACTGATGAAGTATGACATTTTGGGTATAAGTATATGCAATCTCAGAGATCAATTACCGAATACATAGCTCAGTGGTAAAGTTATTTATCAGGGCATTGGGTTATTCTGTTTTAAAAATCCAATTCTCTTCAGAATGGGAGTAAGCCGGTAATAGTCACTTAAGAACTCAGAAAATGGATTATTGTTGTATATAGTCTAATTACAGAATTACTAAGTGACTAGATTGTTATTTATATATATTCCCTGCATCCTGAGCTCTTAAATATAGTTCTTTGATTTATTATTCATAATCGGTTGCTCTAACAAGAACGATATTTTCTAGTTTCTTACTCACAGTTTCCCCTAACCAAAGCCAATTTTGGTTCACTTATGTATACTACTTGTTAATTTCCATTTAGTGATGTCATGTAGTCCGGCTCTGCGTGTATATAATGGAATAACTGAAGTATGTGAACGAAACTCAAACTTGTGGTCATTGGTTTTTGTTCTCCCTCTTCCTCTTTAGTTGAGCAAGTTAGTGTTGGGCAGTACTTCAAGCATATAGACAACTGTTCAGACCTATCAACGAAACTGGTAGTAGATATCCAGCTGCTAGTGAGACTATCTCGGAGAAGGATGGGATTATTACTGACTCTCAGTTCAGGAGATTTTATCTATGAACAGAGCACTTTAGGGAGCATTTCAACTAACGTACAGCAATATCTCAGATACCTATCATCTTCAAACAACTTGAAGAGCAAGTTGATGTAACCTTTCCAACTCCTAATGAGGTTGGAAAGGCTATAGGCAACCTAAAACGAAGGAGAGCAGCAGGATTTGATGGGATCATCCGTAAGGTTTTTAAGGATGGTGGCCCAGTTTTAGCAGTTAGGTTGACTGAAAACTTGGTTGGAATCTGGGAACTGGGCGTAATCCCATCGAACTTGTCTCAATCACTGACTGTGCCAGTCTATAAGAAAGGCTAAAAGTCCTTTTATGACAGTCAAGAAGGAATTAGTTTAAATAATAAAGTGTCTGGAATACTAGCCTCAATAATACTACGACGCCTAACTAGAGCTCGTGAAGAGTAGACTCAAAAAAACTAGGACGGCTTCAGACCTAGATGTGGATATTAGGACCATATATTCACATTTTTAGCAGGTCCTAGAACAGACTCACATTTCGAATACTAACAATAGTTGTATTCCTCAACTTTGAGTCAGTGTTCGACTCTGTCCATCGTGGTGTTCATCAATGTTCATCACTAATGCAAAACGTTACTAGTGTTCTGTTTTCTAAGCCGGTTAGTCTAATTACAGAATCATATAGTTTTTTAGAGGATAGAAACCTCCGAATGTGAGAACATAACATTACATATACCTCATTATTTGTCTCCTATATTCGAACTCACCTGTAACAATTGTACCGTCTAGGATTATACGTTGCATAAGCTATATGTGCACCAAATCCTGCTCCAGTTGAGAAAAATATTTGAATAGCTGCATTTGCCCAAACCTTGAACAAAACACTGTTATGATTTATTCGTAACAATTAAAGAAAAACTAAAGTACTTAAATTTATTGAGACTGATCAATTTTATCACTTTGTATGATATTAGTGAATACTACATTTTTTGTCTCTTATAGTAACCGCTCTATTGGATGGTTCGGTCAGAGTTATAAAGGTTTCATTGCTCTTTTGAAGTGATGTTTGAAGGATTAAATTAAAAATTTCTTAATTCAGCTATCTATTTGAGGGACTTGAAATATTCATTATAATCATTATTTGCTTGATCGACTTTTTTGAGTGTTGCTTATCACAATTGTTTTAAACACTGAGACATTAACTAGTTTCTTCGTAGAATTTCTCAGAATGCACTTACCTGTCGTTTGATATTAATTGGTTTTATGGTTTAGTACTTAAAGTGCACAACTGCAGCCTTTAAAATAGAAATACATACTCATACTGTGGTACGCGCTACTTATAAGTAGTATATGACGCGAGTGTAAACATAATGTCTGGCAGCAGAAGATGGGGGAAGATCAAGAAAGGAAGAGTAGGGACACAATGGAATTTGTATGAAATGCATGAATAAGTGAAATGTCAGACAATGGATTGATGATTGATTGAAGATTTGCAAATTAACGATTTACGATATGGTTTTCCTACTTTACTGAGTAACTCTGTAATTTGAGCTAAATGCAATTCGGTTGCCCCATCTGTGTTCTCCTTCACTACAATACTACATAGTAAAATAAATACTTTCAAGTTCTTTGTCACTCTCAACCGATAAGTGATGATAAGTTGCGCAAAATATACGTCCATATCTCTTTTATTATTATCAGTAAACATGTAATACTTGGAAATTTCTGATTACCATTATCATTTTGTATTAATTTAAAGGATCATTATTATCATTTTAAAAAAATATCTTTAAGATTTTTTTCCTGTGAATAACTATCATCAATTTCAACACATATGTTGTTTATGAAATATAATTTAATTAAATCAAAGGAATTGAGTCTGTTCTCAACCGACTAGTGCAAGTGCAATTTCGGTGAAACACAACATTAACAATCATAATTTTCATACGTTAAATAACTACTTTATTTTTTATAGTTTGTTGATACCACAATTATAAAAACATATCTATGATTAGACAATTGGAAATTTACTTCATCAATTGTGTTTGGTCAAAACTAGAAAGTGATGTAGTTGTTCAGCGATTGTTGGTTTTCAATGGTTTCCTGACTAAAGTTAGTCCATGACATAAACCTTTAGATAAAAAATTCCTATGAATGCCGACATAAGTTATTGATTTCAAGTGGTGATTTCTGAAGTTTTAGTGCCAAGCCTTAACCATTAGAGTTCGACCATGTTTTTAGAATAAGGTAATTAATCACCAGTGGTAACGGACGTTGGTTAAAGGTTATTTTTATTTTTACTAGAGAGTTATGTAGGCTGGGAAAGAGCAAAAGTATAGGGAGTCTGCAAGAACTGTCCTAGCCTACTTTGTTATTTTTTCAGTAATGCTTAATAATAACTCTACAAGGGACTATGAATGAAGACCTAGAAACTTATGATAGCGTAAACAATCACGATTACTTGCTATTACTGATTTTAGACTAACCGGTCAGTTTACTATAAAAAACTAATTTCAAAATATACAGAAATCCCTTAAAACCATTTCATCATTCATAGAAACACTGGTTATTTTGCACAAAAATATCATTCAAGTGGCAAGATGCAATTCAGAAGGACTGTATAATTGTGCCTCATTGAAGCACATATGTATTCAAACAATCATCTAGAAAATGTTTGTAACATTTTGAGAAGTAAAACAGAAACTAATCGTTGTTTAAATTTATCTAAAAGAATAAAAATAAACAATGCCCTATTTGTGAGTTACCGTCATTTCTGATAGTTTATCAAAGCGTGGTTTGATAAAGTACCAAATCCCTTCATAGGAACCATTCAGCGTTAATCCATTGATTAAAAGTATACCCAACAATAAGTATGGAAGCAATGCAGTCACGTAGACAACCTGAAATTTAAACAAAAAAAACTACTTGATTTTTGACGACGCCAAAATCAATAGTTGTGTGAAAATCATTATTTGCATTACGGGGTTGTGAAGATTGTTAAGTTACACATTTTTGAAACCATGAATCGATCAATGTTAGACCACCATTAGAAACCTGGAATCACTGGACGGTCGTTTTGTCCTGGTATGGGACTCCTCAGCAGTGCCTTGGCAGTGTCTATCGAAGACTGTGTATGAGGTTGCGCAACTCCGTGTTAGACATTAACACCGTTGGATGCCGGCCCAGTGGTCCGATGGTTAGGCGTTCGCGCACAATACCGAAGGTCCTGGGTTCGAATCCTGCGGGGTGAAGGAGTCGTGGATGCGCACTGCTGATGAGTCCCATACCAGGACGAAACGGCCGTCCCGTGCTTCCTGGTTTCTAATGGTGGTCTAACATTGATCGGTTCATGGTTTCAAAAAATCATTATTGTTGTGAAATGGATAAACATTGTAAATATTCCATAAAAAAGTTATTTTTACCACGATACGAATTTCGTCATTACGACGAAATATATTCTAAAAATAATCATACGGTCACTAGCGACTAACTTAGAGATGATTTCCCAAAGTTATTAGCGAAAATTCACTAATAAGTGAGCGCTCGCGTATCTCTGATTAACTTTAAATGCTTATTGTACTATATTACATCTAGTCAGATATTAGATATTTGGATCGTTGGACGCTGGTTTAGAGAATTTTCTACAGACGAGTGATTTCTTTTATTTCGTGTTTTATCATAACTATCGGCGCTTATTCATCAAAGTATATAGATTAGTCTTGCTCCGATGTTTGACCGTGACTTCAACAGCGATTATCACAGTGATTCCATTATCATAATGTAATGCTCCTGATACTGCACATTGTTAACTCCTCATTCCAATTATTAGGCTATTTTTATTATAAACCAGTGCTGCAATTGCGAATACTCATCGATTTCTTTCATTATTAAATGTAAGTGCTCTTTAAGTGTAACTGTTTTACTTATTCTTGCACGCATGTTTATCTTCACAATCTCCTCTCCTAAGTGTACAAGTACCTTCAGACTGGACAAAACCTATTAAAAAAGTGAACGGCACAATCTTATGTAAACAAGATCATAACAATTACTTTGCCTGATGTTTTCACTCCATTTCTCATTGATGCAAACAATATACTAAAAATCAATATTGTACATCCTGCTAATTGCCATCTCATTGGTCCAAGATCTTCTAAACCTGTGCTCTGTTGTAATTTCAAGACAACACGCCTGTAATATTATAAAAAAGTGGAAAAATAAAAGTTTAATTTGGTGTATTTTGGGTGATTTTATAGTATTTGAATAATATATACAATCATATATTAGTTCAGTGAGATATTTCTTCAATAAAACATGCAGCATTTATCGTGTGTTAATCCAGTGTAAAAGCGACTTGTATACACCGATGATTGACAATTGAATAGCGTCCGATTTTGTGTATGTCGTATTTTTTTAGTGCTAATCGAATTCCACAGATCAAATTGCAATGTGACCACTTGTATAAGTGACTCGAGATCTTGTGAACTATATTGAGCTGCAGGTAGTTAACAGGAAACTCTGGATTTAAATTCCGTACTATTTGGCGCTTGTTAGCAAGGTAAATCTGTAATCTTGAGGGTACTGATGCACTTTGTATGATTTTATCCTGTGTCAACAAACTTCATAGTGCTACTTGAACAACAGAGTTCCATCGACAGTGATTAGAGCTTGATATTCATGGCACTGATCAATACTCAGTGGATTATCAATAGCATATACATCTCAGTTTTTCAGGAGATCAGTAGAGGTCCAGATAGCTCAGTAGTAAAGCCTCTGACTATGAAGGAAAGTGAAACAGAATCAAATCCCATAAGTAGTAACAGATCCCTTAATTTTACAATAATACGTAGGTGAGGAATGTCAACTAACACGAAACTCACGTCTAGGAATTCTTGTCGATCACCTCCAACCACTAATTTTTATTTCCATAACTTCAAGGCTAAACCTTGGTTTACAACTTTCTACATTTACATTCAACTGTCTGGTGGGAAACAACGTACTCAAGAATGTTGTTTCATTTTAATCAGAAGCCATGTTGCAATCTGAATGACAGACATTATAATTATTATTTTTTGTTCCTTATCCGAACATGTTCAGAAGTAGAGAAATAGTGACAATGGTTAGATTTGTTTGATGAATGAATCCCTTTTGAATTAATTATTATGATGCTTTATTTTGCAGAGAGCAAGAACGTAGGTTTGACCAAAATAAAATGAATTCATTCTATTTCGTTTGGTTCTCTACAGTTACTTACAATCTGTAATATTTAATAATTACACATTAGATTCAAATTACTGACATGAAAGAGTTTAGTTAGAAGTTGCCATGTTCATACAACAGTATAGTATAATAAGGATGTAAATGATTTTAATAGACCGAATAAAGTATTGTAAGTATATACCCTGTACAGTAGAAACATTCTACAACATTGATAATAACAAAGTTTAATGAACTAAAAACAACTGGTTACGTAATGAATGAACTCTGACAATAAGTAAAAACAAACTGAGTATTGCTCAGTTAACTAAAATAAGATTGGTCATCTAGAAAACAGTCGAAATAAAATGACGTAATGATGTTATTGACTGAAAGAAAGAGTTGGACAAGTAATTATGGTTTTCAATATTACAGGTTGTAAGCAACTGACGAGAACCAAACCAAATCAATTGAATTCATGTTGTCCTGCTCAAATCTTTGTTGTTTCTCTCTTCAAGATAATAAAGGGAATTATGTTTATAAAGTATTTGATTGAACTGATCCAAATTATTGGGATAGATCAGTTGATTTAACTGACTACTTATTTCCAAAATAAAGTCATACATTACAACTGATCAAATGTTAACTTCACACATCTATTAGATGCTTCAGTGTGTACATTAAAGTTCATATTGTAGTTTTGCATCCATGGATTGTAATTTGTTCAACAACCATTGAAAATCAGCAAACATTAGACAATAGTTTTATCTTAAGCTGTCAATCCTTATTAGCATGCATGTATCCATTCTCATTCTCTTTGCGAACAGAACTCAAAAAGGCTATATCGCCCCCGTGTCAGCTTTCAAACTACAAGCTACAGAAAGACACTATCTAATTGATTGTATTTCTAACGTCCATCAGTGTGATGAGCAGAAAACTGTCCCAACATAGTTTAACATAAAATATTCAGGGGCACAGTTTTGGAGGTTTGCGTTTTTACACATTTGAAATCATCAGTCAATCATTGTTAGACCACCATTAGAAACCTGGAAGCAGTAACTACCAAAGACAAATAGGTGAGGTCGCGCAAAATCCCTAGATCAATCAGAGTTAGACATTAACACCGTTGGATACCGGCCCAGTGGCCCGATGGTAAGGCGTTCGCCTACAATGCCAAATGTCCCGGGTTCGAATCCTGCGAGGAGCAGGAGTCGTGGATGCGCACTGCTGATGAGTCCCATACCAGGACGAAACGGCCGTCTAGTGCTTCCAGGTTTCTAATGGTGGTCTAACAATGATTGATTGATGATTTCAAATGTATAAAATATTCAACCAAACAGAAATGTAATATGATTCAGTAGTTACTTGTCATCTAATTGAATATATAATAATAATAATAATAATAATAATAGTTATTATTATTATTATTATTATTATTATTATTATTATTATTATTAACAATCACTATCGAGATCACACAAAACACACAACCAATGAGAATAGTACACACTTTCGCTTCGTTTTACTTTTTTAAATAAAAATCTTACTCAAAATATTCAATTGATGCAAGACTATAATTTTTCAATTGTAATAAATCATTTCCATCATTGACAGAAGAAATTGTACTTGACAAATTGTGTAAATATGTAAAATTGACGCAATTCACACTGTTGCCTCGTCGTTGATCACAATAAGTCCATGGTAGAATATCACTGATCGATGCAAATAAAAAGTATAATGACCATGCAGATATTGTATTATAATAGAATGCCACAATATAAGATATAATCACTTGAGCTATACCGACACCTGAAAATCAATAATAATATGGATAAAAACTCAATAGATTTTTTCTTCTTTCATGTCATGAAATGTCTATGAAATAAATCCAAATGTTCTGTGTTAAAATTAGCTTTAAGAAGATTTTGTATTACTCAAGAAAAAAAAAAGTTTTTATGATAAATCGATGCTAAGTGCAGAACTCCTGGATTCCAGCGGCCTTTATTATCTCTCATTAGTGGAGTGGCGTAAGTTATGCACAGTTGTATTGTACAGAACTAGGAACCTATTTGATTCATTGTTACAGTTAATTGAATTTCGAAGGTTAGAATTAGACTTTTTCTGTTAGGTCACATAGCTCCATGAATGACAACACTTTTGTGACTTCGTAGGGAAACTTATTTACTCATTGAATTGAATGTGTGTATGAGTGTCAATTAGGAACTAAGTCTTGTCCAATCAAAGTTCAATTGGATTTGGAATTAAAACTTTGTCGAGTATTGATTAACTTTGGAATTAGTGCTGACTTAATGAAAAAAATTTAAATGACAACCTATTTTATTAATCACGAAAGGTTATTCGGTTTTAAACTTTTTATAAAACAGCAAAGACAAAAGCAATAAATTTTACCTCGAAACATAGGACATATATCCCAAAGAGAAACAGCTCCACGACGATGTTTCTGGCCTAATATTAATTCTAAGTAGAACATTGGTGTTGCACTGCAAATCATCACAATGAAGTACGGAATCAAGAAAGCTCCTAAAGTGTTTAAGATGAATGAATAAATTGTAAAAAAGTTATCAATTCATAATTATTTCCATTGGCTATAAATATACTCGTTTCAAATTATGCTACTATATAACAATTTCAAGTAGTATTGTCTATCTGAAAAAATAAATAAATAATTTTTTTTCTTAACCCTTAATGTTTTGAAATTATTTCCCTAAAGAACTATAAATACTATAAAAAGGTGTTGTTGTTATGTTTTAACATTACTTTTTAAGAATAAATCAAATTATTTATGACCATTAAAAACTGCGAACGATGCAAAATTTTACTAATAAAGATTCAGTGTACTTGTCGTTAATTCATAGTTACAGTTTGTACAATATTTTAGTTCATAAACAATATTTTCTCACAGTTCAATCTAGTTTTATTTAGTTGTCAAATTATTTATGCTCACAAATTAATTTAAATATTCCAAATGTGATGAATGGAACGATTAGAAAACGTGCATTACGTGGATGTGAAGATTGTTAAGTTTTTTTGAAACCATGAATCGATCAATGTTAGACCACCATTAGAAACCTGGAAGCACTGGACGGCCGTTTCGTCTTGGTATGGGACTCCTCCTTGATCAAGTTAGACACTGATACCGTTAGATACCGGCTCAGTGGTCCGATGGTTAGGCGTTCGCCTACAATACCGAAGGTCCTAGGTTCGAAACCTGCGGGGTGAAGGAGTCGTGGATGCGCACTGCTGAGGAGTCCCATACCAGGACAAAACGGCCGTCCAGTGCTTCCAGGTTACTAATGGTGGTCTAACATTGATCGATTCATGGTTTCAAAAAGATTAGAAAACTATTCACTCTTGTTGAAAGAAATTACACAATATTCCAAAGCATTATATGACCATTAAGTAGATCTTCTGAGAAACAAGTAAATATGTTGTTCATGTGCATTTGCCAATCATTTGGTTAATGTTTAAATTTTTACTTTATTTCATGTCTATGTAGCATTTCAAGTTTGGATGCAGTTACTTTATTTATACACAGCCGAAACAACAATCTGATATTTCTGTAAAGGGATTGCAAATAGGCTGGTCAGGTATGCACAAGCAAATATTTTAATCGACAGTGAACTGAATGCTTAATAATGAGGGATCTCATGTAGGAATGAAACAGCTGTTCAGTGCTTTTTGTTGTTATTAGCTCTCTCGTTTTAGTTAGTTAGTGATCTAAAAACAGCACATTTTAATAGTGCTGAATCGAGATGAGCCATGATATTACACACACACACATTGTAAGCTATGTTATTGGTAAAGATTCAAGCAACTGTGAATAATATGTTGAATATATATATGTATATATATATAAATATATATATAAACAAAAGATTCTGAAGTTATCAATTGTTAAATGTAATATATTATCACATATATTAAAAACGTTAGGCCAGAAATTTACGTATTACAGTTGAGTAAAGTTATGCTTGCTTGTTCCAGTGGGCTAAAGCCATTCATATGGGGTTCATTATTCATATATTTAAACGAAAAAGAATTTTCTGAATGTGTCTTCATAAAACATCTTGAAAATAATTAATATATGTCTCATATACTATACTGCATATACCTATCATATACCAAGTGCCTCAATATTATTATCTTGTCGTAAATTAAAAAAAAACATTGGTTGTTGGTCAATAGCAGAATTCTCGAAAATCAGTCTATCGTTTTAGGGATTCATCAGATGGATGTATCTCCATCCCAGTGTTAGTGCCGATACTGAGAATTGAGCTTAGAACCGATCATTTTAAAAGTTAACATGTTGCTCACTAAAACAATGAGTTCAGATAGCCACGTACCTGATCAATGAGTTTGAAGTTATTTATATGCAAAAAATACTGGGTTTTAACCTCATTATGAACATCGATACTGGAGTATAGGTATGTCCATATAGACAAAGTGGCGAGACTATTATTTATAAACGAAATGCTCACATTTAAGATAACAAGTCTTGAATTTTGGTGCGAAACTTATGCATCTGTATGGTTAAATGGCATTTTGGTATTATAACTGATATCATTTCGTGATGAAAACTCCCAACTCTAATTCCTGACCGTAACATCTAATTCTAAATCCTCACACTAATTAACAGCCCTTTTTAAACCCTGGTGAGTAGATAAATATTCTTTAAGTCACTTTAGCATCGCTCAAATGCGGTCCATAAATTTTTTCATCTTACCGATAAAATGTGAATGATGAATTTGACTGTTACTTAAAATCCAATCTTATTAGTGGGAAATGGGTTTAGATATCATTGCATTTACATCTCATTGAACAGCCAATTAATGATAATACAACTCGCATAAAAAGTACATCTTAAAGCTAAATATGTGATGCATTCTTTATTGCTGCGTTATACTTTATATATTTCATTTTTTTGTTTTAATGTTTGCTGATTCATCAAGTTGTGAATTGAATTTAAAAAATATTATTTACTGAAATTTCATATGGTTGCTAGCCTTTCGATGTTAGACCTAATTTTATCGTATTTCGATAGAACAGTGAGAAGACGTAATTGATCTGAAAAATGTGATGTATTTGCGCTATACATTTCGAACAATCTGGTCACACATATTTACTTGTCAAGGCATTTTATATGAAAATGAATAAAAGGTCAATTAAATAAAAGTTCAAATAGACATAGGGTGATAATTGTAAATAAAGGAGAGAGGAAATTCACGTAATATGAAAAGAGAAATAAGAAGACATATTTTGTGAGATAGTACCATTTCGTGCTTTCTCGTCAGTCACATACAAGCAACATGTAATTTGTGTAAATAAAGTTTTGAAGATAAGGTCAAAATTTCTAAAAAGGAGACTCCCACATTCTACCATCAAAAAGCTGCACCAACTAGTTAATATGAAAAGAATAAGAAAGGGTAGGAAAATTGTCACATTACCCTAGGCTTAAAGATTACCAAGGTAAATTCAAGGTTACGACAAATTGTTTCTGCACACATAAAGGGGGTTTTAATTTTCGAATAGCCAAGGCCTCCATAAACCTCAAAATTCGTCCTTCAACATTCCTATACAATGTTTTGAAGGCTGTCTTGATGTCAATCTTATGCCCTGTCTCAATTATTTGTTTGGCGATCAATGAACATGGTTTTCTATTTCCAACGCTCATCTGACGTTATCGTATTTACTACTTCTCACCTGGATGTATCTGCCTCACAGTGCTAATTTTCATACGTAGAGATTAACTAAATAACACTCACTTCAAACTCCACTACATAATCTACTAAGCTGTTAAGTTCACATAGTCACCAACTTATGTGAAGGTCATATGGTTTTAAAACGAAAACACTTATTTGATCGATAATCATGTATGAATTATGTACACTAAAAGATTAAATGTGACAAAAATGAATGAAATATAATAAACTCACCGCCACCATTTGTAAAACAAACATATGGAAATCGCCAAACGTTTGCTAAGTCAACAGCATAACCAAGAATTGATAGAAAGAAATCAAACTGATTATTCCACTCCTCTCTATGATCATGTTCAACATCACCATCATCGTTATCAATGTTCAATTTCCCTGATCTAGCTCGTGAATCTAATATCTCGCATTTCATATTAGAAGTTTCATTGTTTAAATAAGACTCAGCAATAAATTTCTTTTCATCAAGTTCAACATTACATTCTAAAATAAATGTTTCAACAATATTAAATCAAAATAAATATTCAGTGAAAGTAAACTACAGAAATAGGAAAAAATTTGTACAATTCATTGTTCAATTAGTTCATTCACACAGATAATAATCCTAATTAATGATAATAAATGATCAGTCATAGAAATGAAAATGATAATTATTAATCCATTGTCTATGAATAACACCAGTGAAGTAAATGTGAAGTGAAGATTAAGAACAAGATTGAGAACAGTGGTTTCACAATTACTGATTCAGTACTTTCGTTAGTGATCTATCAAATTTGGTATTGAATACATCATCATAAAAGTAATCATTTGTAGCTGGTTGACAAAATAAAATGGAAATAATAAACTAACTATATATGTGTCTGCTTTAAAAATGTTCTGAATAGAAAAATATACTGATCCATCACTGAACGGTGACTTGTGTTGTGTTATATTCAGGGTCAATTAAGGTACATGCAACACAAGCTTGCCTGCTACTTTTACACAACACAAGGTTTACAGAACTGCACATATACATGATCCCCCTTGCCCGAAGGGGTACGTAGTTTCTCCATTAGGACAATCGGACATCCAACCAGGTCCTGCATGAACAGGCACCCCCGTACAGGTTCTTATGAATCGACTAACTAATATTGTGTTAATCTAACTCTTACTTCACTTACTTACTTTCGCCTGTTACCCCTAACAGAGCATAGGTCGTCGACCAGTATTCTAAAGCCTACTCTGCCCTGGGGCTTTCTTTCCGGGTTCTACCCAATTGCTGTTCATTCTTTTCATGTATGCATTCGGTTTTCGGTGTAACGTGCTCTTGGATCTTTTTTTCCGTTGGCCTTGAGGATTCCAGGTAGGAGCATGTCTTGTGACTCAGCTGGCTGTATTCCGCAACGTGAGTCTCATCCAACCGCAACGCTTCTTCCTGATTTATTCCACTGCAAGAATTTGCTTTGTTCTAATCTAATTCTTAGTAAAAATCAAAATCTGTTGATCAAATAGAATTTTGGCCACTGGTCTAATTAACTACATACTGAATTCACTATTTTATGATGTAATGTAGTTGGAAGCAATCGACCGAAAATCTTCAATCTAGGTTTTGTGATGCTTGATGACATTCATGACGGAGTCTCAAAACTATTCGTTGGAATGGTGCATATATCCGGATTCGAACCAAAGTCATCATAGTCAGCAATTTTAATTATAAAGCTCATAAATTATTATTTGTAAGGATTCCTGATTATCAACTCTCAAAAAAAGATGGACTGGCCCTCTTAGAAAATTGCCTGCTTAGGTTTGAGCACCTTGGCAGTATTTCAGCACACGTACAAATTCAATGGTGTATATGGCGCTTATATATTTTCATGCTACTTTGTACCATTGTTCATTGGTTTCAACAAATTCATTAAACTAAATAAACAAAGAGGAAAACTTAAAATTACCTGAGTTTTTGTGAGATGATGATAGGTGCTCCAAAGTTAGTTCATTTTCAATACATCTAGGTATTATCGATGGGATATTCAATGCACATGAATGTTCCATTTGTCTAAATAGTTTTTGATATAGTACAAAACTCTCTTACCATAACTTTTGTTCTGTTTCTTCAAGTATGCGATAATTATATATATATAAGAAATGGGAAAAGGATTTAATTCGCAAATTATAGCCAATCATATGATTAGAGTCAATTCAGAAATTACTTGCCTTATTGTTTTGACATTATTGTTTTTGGGAAACATGGATTATAACGCATAATTACCACTCTATCATTTTTTTGTTTTCTGCGTAAAATGGACAGTGGACCAGTCAAATTCAGCGATTGTATTGTAATGCTTCATTCACATCTGCTTGTCTGTGTATGCGTGACTTTGTGTTCCAAAGTGACTGATTTAAAAGCAGAAACCAACATTTTGGTGATACTTATTATTTTCGGGCAGAGTTTTGGAGGTTTGTGTTTTTACACATTTGAAATCATCAATCAATCATTGTTAGACCACCAGTGCCGTCCAGTGCTCCCAGGTTTCTAATGGTGGTCTAACAATGATTGATTGTTGATTTCAGATGTGTAAAAACACAAACCTTCAAAACTCTGCCAGAAAATATCGTAACAGTGCTCACAAGTGATTAGCTTCGTGAGGAAATTTTCGGAGTTCCAGCTGAGAAGACGTGGCCAATGGAGTTCAACCCTGCCGGGTGTAGGCAGTAACTACCAAATACAAATGGGTGAGGTCGTGCAAAATCCCTAGATCAATCAGAGTTAGACATTAACACCGTTAGATGCCGGCCCAGTGGTCCAGTGGTTAGGCGTTCGCGCACAATACCGAAGGTCCCGGGTTCGAATCCTGTGAGGTTCAGGAGTCGTGGATGCGCACTGCTGATGAGTCCCATACCAGGACGAAACGGCCGTCCAGTGCTTTCAGGTTTCTAATGGTGATCTAACAATGATTGATTGATGATTTCAAAAGATACTAATTATGACAAAATACTCCACTGATGAATTCTAGAAACCCTGTATATAGGGTTCCTACTTGTCGACACTCATCAAGAAAGGCGTACTCATACTTTTATGGGAACTGATCTTTCCTGTAGGATCTGAACCCACATCAACTAGGTTCGCAGTCTGAGTTATGAGAATTATGCTGTTTGAATTGATTTGTTTCTTCAAACTCCAATTAATAATTTCCGATACTTTAAAGAGATTGACAAAGTGCTGTAAACTTGTTAATTATTGCTTGAAAAGGGTACCCTCAGACTTAAGCAATCTCCAGTTGACAAATAGAATTCTATGCAATTTAAAATTAGAATGTTATCAACACATCTGAGATGTTTTCGGGCAGAGCTTTGGAGGTTTTGAAATCATCAATCAATCATTGTTAGACCACTATTAGAAACCTGAAAGCACTGGACGGCCGTTTCGTCCTGGTATGGGACTCATCAGCAGTGCGCATCCACGACTCCTGCATCTCGCAGGATTCAAACCCAGGACCTTTGGTATTGTGCGCGAACGCCTAACCATCGGACCACTGGGCCGGTATCCAGCGGTGTTAATGTCTAACTCTGATTGATCTAGGGATTTCGCTCGACCTCACCACATTTGATATGGTTCCGAGATTCATTCATTTTCATTTGTTTAAAATTACTCTTGAAATGAAATCTGTTTGATTAAAAATGTACAAAGTTTTGTATTTACTACACAAATAGTGATCACAACATATCCATTCATTCAGTCGTCTGTGTTGATTGAACAGTATCGATTGAAGTTTTTTGTATGACCATTTAACTACTTGACTCATCGTTGTAAGGGATCAATTAATCAATAGTTTATTGCAGAGTAGCACTCATTATATATTATCCAGTATGACCGTAATGATCTTTTCGAGATACAACCCGCATCCTATAAGATTGAGTTCACTAGAATTACTGATTAAAGGATAATGACTGATTTTACGTGTAATATGAAACTGATGTCAAAATTTCATTTAGCTATTTGTTCACATTTTCATTTTCCTTTAGGTGTAAAACACAACTACTTCAGAGTCTTATTTCCGCGTAGTTTTAGATCATCTCTGTGAACATGTTTGCAATGCTCCAGTCATAACATCAATCGGATTCCCCTGAATTTCTACGATGTTGGTTAACATAGAAGTGGGTTGAAACGAAGTAACTGGTTGAATGTGAGGTTAATTTTTGCAGCCTTTAACTGTTAGTCTGGATAACTTTAACAAGTTCAGGTTGAGATCCAATTAGAATCAGTCACAATTTCACAGTGGTATTCATTCTCTTTTAAGATTCATGTTATCAGGTTTAGATTTCTATTACAGTTGTAATTAGTTTATGTTTGGATATTCATGTCTAATCTTACTCGGGTTAAGAATGACTATATATTTTTCATCAGAATGTCATTGACGTACTACATTTCTCTTCCAAAGTTTCTTTTAGCAATTATAAACTACGCCACCTGTAGATTTTGTCAACTTCATATACATGTAATGCATTTATATCATTAAAAAGTATTAAATTGTGATTAATTTATCTGTTATATAAGAATATTTATTACGCTTAAACTGTATTGTTCCAATTCAACTTTTATTGAATTATACAATCATCAGTGGTGACGAGAAGTAAACTTCGTTAACAAACGCAAAAACGAAACTAATTACACTTAATAATGCAAAGTTCATATTTTATTAAAATTGAGTTCGATTATGTAGTTGGCCTTCATGAACACCATAATCCGTTATGATAACTTTCAACCTTCTTAAGTTTTTCTAAGGTGTCTTTTTTTACAGATGCACTCTTCAAATAAAATGTCACATCTTTCTTTAAAACAGTTGGCTTTTGAATAATTTCATTGCTTCATCTTTCATACTTGATGGTTATTTGATATGAATTTGAAAGCCATTTGGAAGAAAACAAAGGTTTTGTGCAGAATGAAAATATATCTATTGTTTAGAAATACAAATAAAATTCTTAGCCGTTGGTTAGCCACCACATAAATATTACAGTGAAACTGTGTTGGGGACTTTAGATCCCCAGATCTCGCTTGATAAATGCCTTAATTTCGGATTTCATTATTGCGAGCGTGCGCTGATCATTGACCTTAAGATTTCATTTCCCACCAAGAAAATCCTTGGCTGTGATTGGCTGGTGTTTATTTTAGTGTGCTATTTTTGTAACTGCCCCAAGGACGTTTCTATGATGCATAATAAATGAGATTTGTGTGCTTGAATGCATTGTGCTTGCTGGGTGTTTGTAGAATACACTTTCTACGCTATATCTAGTTAGCTGTTTTGGGGGCAACGGATCAAAGCAGCCTTACTGGACGCTAGTTCATTGTTTCGATCCCGTTTATCGACTAAGGTGAACCTGTAATAGTTTCAAGCATACTTAGTGATGAACCTAACGAAATGTTATTTTAAATCTATGTGAATGCGCCTAATAATTTCTTTCAATAAATTCAGTGTATGTACTAGATCATATTAATTAGAGTGTTTAAATTAATTGATGGAAATCACCTAAACTGATATGTGAGTAACAATAGGAAAATGCAAAAGAACATACATTATGACGTTGGCCGTTTCATGCTTACAGGTATTCTGTCTTCATAGGAAGCTAATTTGTAGTGAAAAAACATAGCAGCTCATTAGTCTCTTCAAGCATTTAATTTTTATTTACGATGAGCATTGAAATCTTTAAAACTGATAAATAAATAAATAATTAAATTTTCAAATACCCCAATAGATTATATCCAACTACTGAATGAAATCGGATTATTTGGAAGCTGTTATTATTATTATTATTATTATTATTATTACAAATACTGATAAAAATTATAGTGTAGAAAAGGCATGAAAACATTTGAAGAACTCTCACTAGTTTACAATAAATTCAAGAAAAATCAGAGAAACTGTCATAAAAATGATTTCCGCATAAAGAAAATTGAAAGTATTCAGCTGAAAGTGATGTTAAGAGCTTCTTCTAAAGAGGGAATGGAAATGACTTTTTAAAAAAAAATCTAATTCAGTCACATGACATTGGCATGTATGAAATACATATACGCATGGAAATATGGTGATGTTGTGTAAAAATATGTGTCTTTGTATGAAAGCTGGAAATCCAGTGTGCCTACTTCTAGTGATCAACTGATAGGGAGAAATTAAGAACGAAAATTAGTTTTAGAAATAAAAATATTTATGACATGTAATTGGTAAATCTTGTAGTTACATCTATACTACTAATAAGTAGCATTGTTTACATGCATTATACATTTTCAAGTTGATAAAATAGTAGTAGTGGTTTATTTTAAACAAATGAATATCGAATAATCAGGAAGATGCCTACCGAAAACTTAGTTATAACAATGCGTCCACTGTTTTGAGGATATTGATATTTTATGTGGTATATGTTTGTTGGGAGCGGCTGACAAAAATTCCTCGGCCGTATGTTTCATGCTGTTCATATTCAAATATGAGATTCGGTTGAATTGTTGATAACATTGTTGTTTCAAATGGGATTTTAATTTAGTGTCATTCAGTGCTAGAGTTAGAGACAATACCACTGAGGTAAATAGCTTTCAGTGGACTTTTTATAGAGTATGACAGTAGCAACATGTTTATTTGTCTGGATATTATTACAAATACATAAAAGAGTTTATCCTATTTTAAACCCAATGTTTTTCACTTAAAGCGATCTATCAGTCATCAAACCTGAGACGTTTCAACCTAGGAAGAGTTCGACCAATCCTGTCAAGGTTTAACATTACATTATTTAATAATTCTGTTCTTTATATTTACCCAAATGAATAATCTTCCAGTTTCTGAAGAAATATTTTCATCTTGAGAAGTTTTCCTTCACTTTTAGACCATCATATAATTTTTTCCGTAATTCATATTTGAAAACGGTTTTCGATTCATTACTACTCTATATCCGGAGTTTCAGAGTATTCTTCTAGTTTGATTATTGTCATTCATCTATTCATTAATTTTCTTCTGATACTTTAAAAGATTTCTGATCATCTTTTATGACTTAATCACTTACATACTTAAGCCTGTTCCCCCCATATGGAGCATGGGCCACCGACCAGCATTCTTCAACGAACTCTTTCCTAGGCCTTCCTTTCCAGTTCTACCCAATTAATATGCATTCTTTTGATGTCCGTTTTCTGTTCTCAGTTCAGTGTGTTCCTTAGTCCACCTCTTTTCCTATTACCTTGAGGATTCTAAGTGAGAGCTTGCCTTGTGACACAGTGTGTGTCCTATCCATCACCGGGTTTTTTATAATTAATTTCTTACTCTGACGGAATCCGATTTGTCCTCTTCCACAGTAGGTTTATGCAGATGATATCCAGCCGACGGATACGCATTATCTTGAGTAGATAACTGTAAATAAACATCTATATCTTTTGGATAATGGTTTATGTAGATCAGCAACTTTCCACTACATACAATAGAACGGTTATGACGTTCGTATTGAAAATTCTGACTGATTATCTTTTATGCAGTACAGTATTCTTTGGTGATATTTTAGACTTAACTAATAAATACGACTGTAAATTTTTATTAAGTGGTATCATTCCAAAGAAAATATTTCGCTGAATTGTACTGATGAAATGAGTTTCTTTCATAACTGAATCGTCTGATACAAACTAACACTTGCCCATTTGTTAAATTATAAATTTATTATTGTTACTGATATTTTTAACGATATTGATGCATTCTCATCATTTAAGTTTAAACAAACCGTTTATGATAAGACACTGTACAATGGCATGGTAAGAAGAAAGCTTTCATATATGGCATTTTTACACACGATTCTGGACTGAAATAAAGAATCGCTCACGCTTTTGCAGTTCATAAGTTAGTAATATGAGGTTCATTAATATTGAATCGTTTGACTGCATGACTAATTTTGAAAGATATAGCTGGTGGGACAAGGTAACCAGAAATGCTAAAATCTCATTATTGTGTAATTGATCATTTGCATTACGGGATTGTGAAGATTGTTAAGTTACACATTTTTGAAACCATGAATGTTAGACCACCATTAGAGAACTGGAAGCACTGGACGGCCGTTTCGTTCTGGTATGGGACTCATCAGCAGTGCGCATCCAATCGATTATTACCTAGTCATCAATAAAAAAAGTATAATATTTCGACCACATTAACTGTCTACTCTCGATAATCTGATTAAAAATAATACCTCGCCTCGTTTTCCAGAAGTCGCAACTAGTAGACTGCTGAGGAGTCCCATACCAGGACGAAACGGCCGTCCAGTGTTTCCAGTTCTCTAATGGTGGTCTAACATTGATCGATTCATGGTTTCAAAAATGTGTAACTTAACGATCTTCACAATCCCGTAATGCAAATTACCTGTGCTCACTAGTGACTAGCTTCGTTAGGAATCCTCTCCGAGTTCTAGTAGGAAGACGTGACCAGTGAAGTTCAACCTGTTCGGGTATAGGCAGTGTCTACCGAAGACTGTGTATGAGGTTGTGCAACTCCGTGAATTGATCAAGTTAGACATTAACACCGTTATACACCGGTTCACTGGTCTAACGGTTAGGGCGTTCGCGCACAATACCGATGGTCCTGGGTTCGGATCCCGCGGGTTGCGGGAGTCGTGGATGCGCACTGCTGATGAGTCCCATACCAGGACGAAGCGGCCGTCCAGTGCTTCCGGGTTTCTAATAGCAGTCTAACACTGATCGATTCGTGGTTTCAAAAATTTACCATTTAATATTCTTCCTTCAAAAGTCAATTATATTATTGCTCGGGGAATCTTTTAGGGCATGATGGCTTTGCGTAACCAATATAATCTACTCCAAAAGAGCAAGTAGACTCGTGAAGATAAGAATGTTGAACATGGAGGTACTATATCTTTTATACATCCGCCAATGATAAGGCAGCTGAAAAAGTAAATAAGAAGCTTAACAGCCAGAAATGCTTTCCTCAGAGATCTATTCAGCAGGTTTTTAATTATCCACGGTTATATATTTCAGCTGCAGTTTCGACGATAAGATAGTCAATCACCATCGGATTGGATGGTGGTCACTTTGCGTCATTAGTCAAGTGGAATTAGAAGTATGAACTATTGATTACTAAATAAATTTTTAAAGTCCAAGCTCTTAGCGCGAAACTTGATGGTCTTAGGTTTGATTTCCAGTGAGATTGTAAATACGATCTGTGAAGTCACAGATCCCGAAGAAATATTTGTCGAGTGTTTTGCGGTTTCCAATATTTCTCTAACTGAAGTACGCCATTTTTGAATACATTGCAAACCTAAAAGAAGAATGAGAACATTCACACAAACCTGTTTCATGTCAGTTGATCTCCGACTGTACAAAAGACATTTGAAGAAGAGTTTTATTTCTGGAAATCTCAGCAAGTAAAAGATAAAATATCATTCCAGCTTTTCGCTTGACATTCTAATTTAAGCTTCTCAAGGGAAACAATATCAGGTTTTTCGGGTATAAATATGGTACACAAACAGTAACTGTCTATTAAATGGTTGTCCGATGATGTTTAACTATTCTCTCTCGCTTTCATATTTGTGTGTGGATTATTATAGCTAAAGTGTTATTGTGTGTCAATTGACATGAAATCAAGTTCGTAATAAATTGTTTTTCTATTAGAATAATCTTGACCGTTCATAATATAAGAATTATCATTGTGTCAATCTAAACCCCATTAAACAACGATAACTACTTACTGAAGTTTTAACCCATGAATATTTGTTTTGATTAATTAAGGTCAGCCACATCTAAACAATATTCTCCACGAATCGGCAAACACCTATCATTATAAATATACAGTAAAATCATGGATTAATAAACATTTTCATGAAAAGACTCCTGAAGCAGATATGTTAGTCTACTAGTTGCAACTTTTGAAAAACGAGGAGAGGTATTTTTTTTTAATCGGATTATCGAGAGTAGACAGTTTATGTGGACGAAATGGTATACTTTATTTTTCTATTGCTGACTTGGTAATTATCGATTTACGTTGAACTGCATTGGATTTATCACTATTCAGGTATTTATTTTGTCGAATGCAATCAGTTCACCGAATGTCCTTGATAATGAAGTGATAATTTGTGTTCCAACACCTCCGAGATACTTTTAACGTTTGATTAACAACAAGTGATGATCAATGCTGAGAAGAAGGATTTGAATTTTGTTTATTTTTAGTGATGATTATTTTAAATGAAAATCCAATAAAGCTGATACCGTTTACTTTTGTCAGTATATATTTAAAATAATATTAGAATTTTACGAGATGAACCATCATCTGTTTCTACAATTCACCCGCGCATTACGAATTAATTTAATTTCAATAAATATACTTGAAATATTTATTTGTTTTAATCAACAATCCATTTAAAAAAAAAAGTAAGATTTGACATGTGAACACTATATGTACTAGTTGCTCATACACTAGTTGTGTAGTGCCTCCACATTTATTTGCATCCGCTTACATTTAATTTGATTAATTTCTTTAACCAAGCCATTCGCTTAGCAACAACTTGTATGTACCATTGGTATTTTTTATTATCTGGTTTGTATGAGCTGATATGACTGAGCATTGCTGAACGTCTACGCACATATGCATCCTATTCGCTTTAATATTAATCTCTTAAATACCACGATGACTCAGACATTTTCCTTTGTATATATACGAACATTTAAATCTTATTAATTCATTCGCTCATTCGCATATTCGCTCGCTAGTGTGTCTGCCCGGTCTGTCTGTGGTCTGCTATTATTAATTGTGGTGTGCTACAATAAACGTATACGATACTTGGAATTCATCTTCTGATTTATTAACCGTCAGACGTCATTTGGATAAGACAATCTGAACGAGCTTATTACGAAACGTAAGAACACGCATTAAACCGGCACACTACAGTTGCATTACAGCTATTATCATTTTTAAATTTTCTTAAAATTGGTTTTATTCATCTTCAATATTAATTTGAACGAAAGATGCTTTTGAACACGATTATAATTATCAATGAAATCAGTTGCATAACTATATCGTTTATCGAAATCTTTATACTAATAGAAAATAACAATGATATTTGGTGCCAGTAAATGACTAAAAATAGAGAAAAGCAAACAAGATTTCCTCGAAAGGCTAAACAATAAAAAACATCATATGACCCATAACATCATTGGTGTGATTTTGAAGGTGTTGTTTTCACTGTATTGAATGCTTGAATTATGAGGTTTTGAATGTGTCTCGCTTGACAACAACAACATCCTCGCATACTTCAAAAAGAAGTTATCTATCATGGAAGAATACACTTAACCTATTGTCTAGTATGGCAATGAATGTTTCATGAATAAATTATTCGGATCAGTTGAATACATCACTTTAAAATGTTCCTTCTAAGCTATAAATTTTGCCAATCACCCATGAATGTTCTTCATATGAATCGGACGCTAGCCAACACCTAATTCATAACAATTTTCACTTGAATTTATGCAATGATAACTGCAAAATAAAGTTCTCAATGGATATAACACTTCGGATGGTTTCTTATTCAGTTGAGATTTTTTGCAGATAATCTATTTTTTTTTTAAAGAAAGAAAGTAAAACAAAACAGAAAAAAAAACAAACAATTTGACGTATATCAAATGGGATGATCGAGAAAATGTTATGCGCGTCAATGGATATGCTTCAAAACTATTACGAGTTCACCTTAGTCGGTAAACGAGAGCAAAGACAAATGATCCAGTGACATGATAGACTACTCTAATCTGAGCGTCTCAAGGCCCCATTAAGTGAAGGAAGAAGTCTTGATATGGAGTAGGAAGTGTATTCTACAAGAACCCCGAAAAATATGAGGTTTTTCAAGCACACAATTCGAGTTTATTTATACATGATAGAAACGTCCTTGAGAAAGCCACAAAATTAGCTTACTAAAATAATACGTCAACCAAAAGCAGCCAACGATTTTCCGGGTGGGAAATGTAATCTCAAGGTTAGCTGGCCAGCCCATGCTCGAAAACATAAAATCCAAAATTAGGACCCTTTTCAAGTGAGTTCTGGGGATCTTATGTCCTCAACAGAAGAAATGATGCTAGGAATTTGGACTGGCGATAAATGAGGTAGATGTTTTGGTATTTCTATTTTCCTCTTCTGAATGATCTCACGAGGAAGTTTATAATATTGTTGTAACTATTTATGAATTATAACATTAGATCTATTAAAGCTTATTGTATAAAGCTGTATTTTTGATCAATCAAAAATTTGCATAACCAAAGATGAAGTATTTTCATTTAGCTAAATAAGAACAAGTTAACATGAAGTTTGAAATTGTGCTCAGTAGTCTAAAAGTGTAAAGCTTCGTATTCACTGTGGAAGGTGTAAGTTTTGGGTCCGTTTATGTGTAGTATAATGAGTATGTATTGCTGAGGAGCCCATACTAGGAAAAAATCCATACCTACTGACTATTTTGTTTTTTAGTGGTCGACCAGCTGATGCTCGTTCGAGATGAAAACTATATTCAACTTAATGTGATCTCAGCAGACAAAACCAACCAAAGAACATTTTCATTCTGTTGACTAATAAAATACTTGTCAATAATAAGCATGAAAAATTATTCAATAAGATTAGTAGTATAAACATATCGACATTGAAGAGTTTTTCAGGGAATAAGTCAGTCAACAGACTTTTAATCAGTTTAAAGTCTGTTACTAATAATATTATCTGACACTATCCTTGATAACCTTTGAGAATCATATCTAGATGGTAATTCAAACAAAACGTATTTTGCGGATACAGTGGAACCGTATACTAATCTATTCATATAGACATAAGCCGTATTCTACGTTACACAGTATAGTTGTCAGTATATTGTTCTAGAGATTATTCACTTTCATTGAAATCGTAAATCGATCAGTGTTAGATCACAACTGGAGAGCTGGAAGCACTGGACAGAAGTTTCGTCCTAATGTAGTACTGATCAGAATTGCTCATTCATAACTGTGAAAGCATGGAAAGAACCCAAGACTCCCAGTCTCTTGCTTAGATGCTTATCATCTTGACCATTGATCCGACATTTAACAGTGTTAGTGTTGAACTTGAATCAATCCAAGATATTGCGCAACCATCTTCCATTGTCTTTGATCGATAACTGTTTCATACCCAACATGGCTGAACTTCACTGGTCACTGTCAAAGATATCAGTTCATGAGTTCAATGAAACTCGATCCCCGCAATATTAGAGTGATATTTGTCATATGCTCTTTAGTGATCAGCTTCAAGATGGGATTCTCTTAGTTCTAGTGAAAAGCTGTCACCAGTGGAGTTCAACTTTGTCGGGTATGAAACAGTTACCCACCGAAAACAATGGATAATGATGAGTCCTATACAAACATGAAACGGCTAGCCACAACTTTCGGGTTTTCAATGGTGATCTAACGCTAACCAGTCCATGTTTTCAATAAAATTATTTAGTATTGTCTATCAAAAAGTGCCATGTCATGTCATTCTAAATTCATTGGAAGTAGATAAGGAAAGTAACTGAAGGCAGTTGACAAGAAAATCTGAACCTAGTTTATGTTAGTTAGCAACCACCGGCAAGGAATGCCTAAAATCTCGGGGAACTGGTACTTTCATTGGGTTTAAAGCTACGTCATGCGGTTTCAAAATTTGTGAGGTTACCACTTAGATATTTGGAATGTGATTATCCCACGTCCGGATCATACTGGAGACATCGAATACCTCAAAATTGCAGACAAAACTTACTTACGAGTTCCGTGAAATACAAAACGTAAATCTAAGGTTACTTGTCAATCACTACTACCGACGCTCTTACATCAATCAAAATACAGTGTACGTGGTGTTGAGTAACTTACGCTAGTAACTGCTTCGGAATTTGATTTGATTTAAACAATACTGATGACTAAGTAAACAAGATATTAGTTAAAACTCATTGACTGATTATTGTAGACAGAAGGACTAGCACTGGTTTATTTGAATTATATATAGATAATTTCATGATATTCCTCCAGAACATACATGAGTAATTATATAAGTTTAGTGAGATAGAGACATAAAATGAACTCCAATTCAGCTATTCGATGACAAGCAGAGAGGTCTAATGTCACAGATTTCATTACTGGTACAGATCGTTTAACCATCGTCAGTATAAAATTTCAATTTTTCAGCATCAACTATCCCAGATTATAAAAATAATTATTATTTAAATGACAGATATAATAGATAAACTGATTATATTTATTAAACCTACCAACTCTTTACGATTAACAAATCGGACAGCCTCTAACCACCAGGTTACAAATGGATTCTTACAAAGAGCACAAAATCCAGCTGATTGCCATTGTTTTGATCCTATAACACTTTCTAACCAATGATTACTAACTCCAATACTAAAAATATATAAATAATGCTTTTTTAGAAAAGTGAAGCTTTACTGAATCAATCCTAGGAAGCATAATTTTCTCAAAACAATTTCCTATAAAAAAAAAAGACGTTTGCTATAAAAGAAAGCCGATGCGAAAGTCTACTTTTAATGTTAAAACATTTTCTTTATACGTTGAAGTAAATAAATCATTTCGTGTGAATGGATTAGCTTCAGCGTAGAATTCTTTTAATTTCAACTGTGTAAACTAAAATTATCGAAAAACAAAACAGAATTTATGAAGATTGATGCTTGTTTCGGAATTATTTTAGTTTGAAATTAACAATTATTATCATCAGCTGAAGATTAATTAAAGAACTAATATGAATGTAACAATTATTTTGTGAACTAATAACTCTATACAAAATCAATCTTCAGTCAGTCAGATGCAACGTAGAACTTCGTACGTGAGTACATCAGTTCAGGCTGCCATACTACATTAGCACAGAGATGCGATTGTCAGTTCAAATACCATAGTGGTAGGGATAGTAAGAGTACTACTGGTAATAGAGAGGATCTTGGTTCCCAGATATTATTCATGAAGTATAATTCAGTGAGATAAGTAGAGGTGTTGACGAACCCAGAAGATTAGGATTTGAGAGAACAAAGAGAGTGGATGCACCTGCGCTATTGCAAACTATTTTGAGCCATGTCATTTAAGCTCTCTAAACATCGGTTACTATCGTATACAAAATCAGTCTTAGGGTATCCGAATTGAAATACATAGGTTTACATCTTTAACTTTAATTATTTCTCATTGAATAATGTGATGGTAACATATAAGCTTGACTAAAGTTGTTAATGACTATCTCTATATTATCGATTTGATGATGTGAATGAATAGTGATTGTTTTGGATTTGATCCTATGACGAGTTATCGATTTACACTTGTTAGAAGTGTGATACTAAAATTAAAGCTGCTGAACTATTTTTAGTTTTTGATAGCAAATATCGATTAGAAATAAGATACTAACAATGAGCCTAATAAAATTTCTTTTTTTATAAAATAACTTACGTTGAATGGCAAAAGTTGTAAATTATTACCAGCTATGTCTAAAACTTTCAATGCTTTTAGTTGCCCGAATGTCTAAAATCCGAAATTCTTACAATCAGTATCACATAACTTACCTCAGGTAATCGTGTTATGAAGTTTTTATGTAAAATAAGTGTTTTCATATTTTGTAGTAGACCAAAATCAAATGGTAATATCAAAATATGATTGTAACCTAGATTTAAATATTCTAATTTGTTGAGCGTTGAACACATTGACTCTGGTAGTGTCGTCAATTTGTTGTGAGAAATTGACAAGTATTTCAAATGGACTAAGCTGGTCAGATTAAATCAATGATATTTTTCAATACTTGGATATTGAATCGCTCAATGTATTAATACAATTATGATTAAAATTTATATATTCAAGATTAATTAACCGTTCTATAACAGAGTTACGTTGATCAATAAATCTCAACTACCGAAGAGTGTACTTGGAATTGATTGAAGTTGATTGCTATACATACAGATTGATTTGAGTGATGTCAGTGCAAATACAGAGTCAGGTATTGTTTTAAACCAATTGTGGCCCAAATTTAGCAGTTGTAGCTGATAAATAAATTGATAGAGATTATTCAACGATAAAATTGAAAACACTCACATTTTTTGGAAGAATTGGCAAGCTGGATAACTTATTTGAACGTATATCTAATATTACAAGCCAGTTGAGAAATTCAATATTGTTTGGTAAATAGTAAAGTTCTTTATTGCTTATACGTAAACGTTTCTGTTGCGTTGTGATTGCGCGTAAAACAATTGCATCAACACTTTTCATGTCTATTTGAATCTACTAGACAATGCCGTTATTCAATGTTAGTCTACATCGAAAATATATGTACAAAATCATGAATTTGCAAACAAATTACATGTGATATTTTCAGATAATACAATACCGATGATTGAATTTAGTTTAACCATAACTTTCATCTGATTTAAATTTGTCACGAATAAGAAAAATTGTGAAACCAACTAATTGGATGAAAATTTAAATATTCTTAAATTTGAAAGTTTAGTATTTCATTTGTTGGGGACCAGCTGATTATGAGAGATGATTAAAAAGCTGTTTCAGACTGATATATATATATAAGAAACAATTTAGACACTACTTACTTATTTGCTTTAAGTTATATCTAACATTCTGTCGTTACTGTTGAACGATTATATGCCAGCTATGAAAATTTCAACAAATCAGTCAGTTGATACTCGCTGGTTAATCAATAAATGACCTTAACCTTGTAACTGCTGAAAAGTCATTTGATTGGATATTTTAGTGTTACACTTGATTTCTTATCAATGCTGGATTAAGAGGGTACATCTCAATAAACTTTGTTGGTCGCAAAATATTTGCTAAAGATTCGTGTCTATTAGCAATATGTTTGGTAAGATTCATAAATAATCGAGTATGATATATAAATAAAACTAGGTAACATTACCTGTCCACCATTTCCTAGTTCTAAATGTTTCTTCTTAGTTCGGATATCGTGTAGCTGCAAACAGATGACATTTTTCAATATCATTAGGCTGGCTGTTATATACTTTGTCGTTGAAATGCGTTCCATTATCGGTTACTCATGCACTGGAAACAATTTCTCAACTAAATATCTCCCTCATTGCTCTTTAAGTATGGTTTAAGCTAGGACTGATTGTAAGTACTACTTTTGTCTATTTGAAATATGAATCAGTGATAACTAAGGCATAAAATGAGTTCAGAAATAGTCTACAATATTCATCAATATTACGCTGCCACAATTCATAAGATTCAGGCCAATGATTCAAAGTAGGTTTATTGTATGACGGTTTGTGCAAACAAGCAGGACAATTTTCGATTTCTGATTGATATCAGCATTAGTCTCAGGCCAAAAACCTCTTCTGACAGAAATTATTTGCGTCCTAATTTCTGATATTATCAGGATTTGACTTGGTAATCTCGCGAAGAAGAATAAATACCATCTCGCTTTACGGTAATAATTACTGTATCATTAAAGTACAAAACTTCTTCAGGATTTAGTGGTATGTCCTGGTTTCTTTTGCGAAACGCTGGAAATCTACACTTGCTCTGAACACTCCAACCTCTTTTCACTGTACTAATAACATTTACAAAGTACTTGCAAGAATCCTTTGCAAGTTCTGCTGTATGTATAGATAGTGTTCGAACCAGTATACAATCACTTTCGTTACATGGCCTTTCAGAGTATTGACAATGTGAAATGAGTCAAGATTCGATACGCTTTTAGCCACTCCACATTCAGTAGTAAAATCAAAGGCACTAAAATGTAAATCCCATCAGTGAATCATGGCTGCGGATGATTGATGGAGTGACTTAGTTGAGTGGTAAATAAACTTTAACGCTTGATGATCAGTTACAATATGAAATTTTACACCCAACGAGATTTTATGCAGTCTTTCTACTACCCATATCACAGCTAAAGCCTCCTTTTGGGTCTGAGAATATCCTTGTTCACTCTTGTTTAATCGTATGAGAATAAACATAAGAGGTTTCCCATTCTACTCCAAAACAATGCTTACCACAATGGAGATGTGTCAGTAGTGAAGACAGATTTTTTCAGTTGGTGAAAACGGTTTGAGAAGGATTTCACTATTTAAGAACTGTAAGTTGTTGCTTAGCATATCCTAGTCTCATTTTTTCCATACACATCTGAATAGAACCAGGTCAGAAAGTGATAATAATATTTGTGTAAAGTTAGGAATATACATGGACTAGAACTGTGCAACAACTATCTGTGATCTGAGTTCAGAGATACTCGTAGGTGATGATGCTTGGATTAGTGAATCTTGGCGACCCATATCGACTTTGAATTCTTCGGAGTTAATAGTATAGCCTAGATAGTTGATAGAGTTAAGTCCAGAGTTACAATTGAAAGGATTTACAGCCGAAAGCGTTTGAATAAGTTTACAAGACATTCGTTAAGCTTTTTAGTATTTTCAGCATGAAGTACAACATTAAATGGATACGATCTAACACCATGAAGACAAGTAATAATATGATTTACGACCTTCTGGGATATCGCAGTCGAAACATATTATCCAAACGGTAGGAATTTGTATCTGCACATCCCTAATGGTGTATTAGCAGTAATTAGTTCACCAGAGATTTCACCTGGTGGAGTTTTTAAACACCCATCTTTGAGGTGTACGTTAGAAACATACTTTGGCTCTCGTAATTAACGTAGTATATCCTCAATGATAAAACGTCGTTGAAAATGTCGAGTATTTGTCGCCCAACAGTAGTAAACACAAATTCTAGATATTTTCTTATCTGATTTTAATGATGACATCATGGAAGGAGCCCAGATACGCGGCACAGATGGGATTATTTTTCTTTTCTCCCCTAGTTTATCAAACTCATTCTTCACAGCCCCTACTAAACCATGCGAGTTTAGTCCACTCCTTAAAAAGACAGACTCTCCCACTAACTCTAGGGGTGCTGGCTGGATTTTTATAACTTCCACAGCTTTGAGCATTATAAGACCAGAAGTGTGACTGAAGTACTAACAGAGCAATATGTACATTAAGAACTGTGGACATCCAGTAATCAAAGGTGTTTTAACTCAAGAACAGACGGGCTATACTCACTGCTTGGAAAGGGACATTGCGATAACCCTTCCCCTCTTTTGTCATTAGAATACTAGTCGAATCATTAACGGGTAAATGGCGACCAGTGATTGCACAGATAGTAGTATCCAAATGAACATCAGTATGAATGGAAAGTAAATCTTTCTTAGAGGTAATTGACCGTATGCTACTGGTATCAACAATAAAGAATGGGACTTGACTGTATCAGTAATAAGTTTCTGCATTTTGTACGACAATCTCATGTAGCCAATAGAGATATATAACGATTCCCTACTTCTGTTCGAGTCAGTTGGTTTGACCCATTATAATTTAACGCAAATGCCTTGGAAATTTTACAACCTTAGTGTCAATGTTCAACTTTTCCACATTTTCGGCTATATGCGCAAAAAATGATATGAGCTACAAAAATGCAGTTTACCACCTGGGGGACAATGTTTGATGTACGAGATTTCTCCAGGCTATTTTCTGGCCTAGGTGAAGTAACAGTCTGTTTTCGTAGTATAGTAGACTTGAGAAATAAGACGTCACTTTGCTTCGCAACATCATGGCAATCGCTATTAACATTTTCGTGTGTAAAATTTAAGTCATTAGCTGTCTGGAAAGTACAAGAACGAATATACATTAATTGCTTCTCTACATTAGAAACATTTATTTCAACAGTCAAGAGGTGACGTAGTTGGATTTGCATCTGTTCGCCAAAATTACATTAAGAAGATTATGTCTGAAGTTCTGTTATGAAATGTCTGGTTGCCTTAGTCGGAGTGCGAACTAATTGGTTCGGCTGATCGGTCGGTGACCTTAAAAGGAGAAAGATTGAATTGCATCCCACTTCATAACTGTAATTTAATTAGCAACTTCTATTTTTATAACGGACCTCGCACATCCCGATGAACATATTCAACGCCAGAAGTGGCTGACGTTGCAGGTCATGAACCGGCAGGTGGTTTGGTTGCTTCACATTGCGTTTCTCCAACCTATCTCCGTTACAACATGTTGTTATCGAAAATTTTCGAATACTTTACTTCTGTCTGACATCTGTGCTGATGACGTTGTTCAGAGGAACAATTAAAACTGCACAACCACAACATCTAGCTCAGAGAACGAAACTTCACCACAAACATGCTTTTAGGCAGGTAACATTATTTGCTCCATCACGAAACCACGAATGTTAATTTAAGCTTTCGTCTAAACTGAACAAACTAGAAAATAAGTATTGCCGAAGCGGTATGATCAACGTAAAATTTATGGTTGGATTATTCTCCTCTAAACCAAGTCGACTGACAGTCCACAGGGTTCGCTCAGATTAGTTAACCACATGTACTTGTAACAATTGGAAACAAGTGGCCTTCTTACCGTCTTCAGCCGCTGATTCACCATTGACGACCAGAACTCGTTCCGAGTAGTGCTAACACTTGCTGTACCGTATGTGGAATTAAATACTACCGCTTGTTATCCGAAAAATCTTGTCAACCTAGGTATGTTGGTGTCAACCTACAGTTTCAGAAACTTTGCTACGATTTTCTAACTCGTGTAACTTTCATCTTTGGGGGGATACGTGTCCGTCAATCAAACGACAAGACGATTGTTTCTAGCTTTACTTAACAGCAGTGAAATATGGTCTTTAAAAACGAAGATTTTTTGTGTTATAGTAGTATTTTGTCAATGATGTGTAGAGGAACACTTCTACGAAGAAAACGCGATTGGTGAAAAATAAACATTTATTATTGTACTCGTTTTGTTTAACTGTACCAAAAACACTGACTTGTGCGCAACGTTCTTTTAACGCGTTGCTGCCATTTTTCATAACTTGCTTCTCTGCGTAACGCCTACTTTCTCCCTCGAATAAATATTCGACCATGAATTTACTTCTATAACTTGTGACGGGATAGTATCGAATAATTAGTGGTGATCATAGTCAATATCGACTCGGTCACCACTACAGGTGTCTCGGGAGTACTTGAGTATTGCGGGACTGGCATTTCGAAATGACGTGGGCTCAATCTGAATCTATTAGAACTCCCTTTGGTAGCTACGATGAAAGCGAATTCGGAGACAGGTATGTATACCTATACCATGAAGCCACTTTATGCAGGAAAATATAGACTGCCTGGTCGGCGTACTCATAATAACCCCGACGAGTGATTGAAGACTTTGAGCGACTCTTACTAGAAGCGTACCCAACTGGTTTGAAGTATTCTATCTTTTCTTTTACGTTAGATTCTGAAATTCGAAGCTTAGTAACATTTTTTTATCCCACAACTCATTTTTTCCAAATCATATCGCTCGTGGCTAATCCATCCAATCATCTTCCCTTAAGATATACTTAAATCTCCACTTGGAGGCATCAGCGAGCATCTGTTCCTAGAAACGGAAGTCTGTTAAGAGGTTTTACCATTCTATTCACAGCTGTTTTTGGACACTGTGAAAAATCTCACTTCCTTGTGTGGTGTGTGCTATGTAGAATTCTTTTTGAATGTTTTGTGTTTTGGAAAATCCCTCCATGTTTACATATTTTTGCTATGACATGATGGACTTTTTCTCTTGACATTTTTGGTATTTTATTTGATTCCAATTTGAGATTTTATCAAC